CATCACAATCATCCACAACAAACAAACTTTAAAAGTCTCTAGAAACAAATGTGACCTGCACTTCCTTAAAAACTGCTAGGGCGTTCAGACTTATAACACGAACGTCTATCACACTTTGAAAGGAATATTCTTGGGAACAAATAACAATATGCTAGCAAACAGCACTGAGTGTAACGCCGGAGACGCCGACACCATTAGCAGAATAATCAATCTGTTCGTGAGACTTATACTCAATGGTGTTGTGATTGCCTACGGCGACTTCTCTGCCATTCCCCTAACCATTACATACCAATAACTCTTCCAGAGGGTATCGATTCTGCCAAGTGCAGATAACATTGTCCATCTCGCTTCATTTAACTTAACGCATTTTCCCAATTACAAGTGCCATCTCCTCTGGCCCTGAAGTGCCGTGAGTGGAAGTGGATGTCCCGTGCAGATGTCAGGTTCTGGCACGTTATTTCCTCAGGAATTAGCTAGGAGCCATCATTCAATAAGCCACCGAGAATGAAGACTACAGATGGCGCCAGATGAATACTTTGCCTGTACATTTTGATACGGTGGTATCTATGATGGGCTCTGGATTTATAATCGATATCTGTCAGTAAATCTTTGTCAGCAGACCTTTACTATCTATTTACTTCATTATGTTTACCGAAGGAAGGCATATTGTTTTTGCTCTGTTTCTTCTTAGCTTGACAACGCATTTATCATTTTATAAACTTTAGTCTAATATTTAAATAAAAAACAATGTGCGCGTACCTTTGAAGCAGAGTGTAGTTGTTGCAATGAGTGGATACTGAAACTTAGACCGGGGTTCGTGGCGTAACGGCAGAGTGATCGACTCGGAACCAAAATGTCCCGGTTTAGAGTCCCGACATGCCAACAATCTTGTGCCCTTGGGAAAGGAAAGGCGCTTTACACGACTTTCCTCACCTCGCTCAGGTGAAAATGACTATTGTATTGTCCCCTGTGTTGGTGGCGGCATTAATATAGGTTGAAATAACTCGAGTGTGTCTCCTCCACGTCTTGTGATTACATGTTAGAATATAAAAGAAAAAAACTCAGACCGGTAATAGACGACTACACGACAGATCATAGACAGCACTTACGAAACACCCGAATATCTTTGCGCCACTGACGTACAGTTGTGAAGTAAAAGCACCAAGGGATTAAGAAAGATTACTGTGATGACGCACATGTTGACAGGAAAGGGCAAAATTTCGCAACTAGCCGTAGAGTATGCATGTACGTCTGTACGTTTGAAAAGGGACGGACACGCATAATCGGAAATGTGCTGAGAAACCATTACCGGTGGAAGGATAGGATGTTGGGGGCTTACGTTAAGTAACTAATGGCTGGACCCGCGGGCTAACTACACCGCTCGAGATCTGCCTGGGACGAAAATACATCAGCTCATGTTACTTTCATGCTGTGCAGGGGAGACATAGAGATGATATATGAACAGAGAGAGATGGGGAGACTGAGATAGAGTCGCTTGTCAGACCAAACCTAGACTAGAAAGGTACCTTTTGCACAGCAAATGCCGAAGAATGATTCTTAAAAACACATTCATATATAGGTAAGATAGGAGTCTAAATCCCTTCTGCTATAAAACTGCATCTTGTATAATAAGGTTTATGATTTGGCAAAATTTAAAATGTAAGAATCTTGTTTTATTTTTGGCCCGCCTTGTTTTTTGTCGCCCTATCGCATTAGGTTTGGAGTCTGCAGGGAACGTCATCCATGAATTTTTCTTGCTGTGGCCTAATGAAAAAAAAAGGCTGCCTGCACCTTAAGTACTTGATAAGGCCACTTAGCTGAGAGAATGATATCACTAATATATAGCGCCCTGGCCCTGGACGATAACATACTAGCTATACCTGTAAGTCACGTTTTCCAGCTCAAGGTTATCTCGTATTTTAAAGCCGGCAGTTTTTATGACCTGTTGAGCCTCTACGTTACCCTGTAATAACTCACTGGCGTCGGTTTAACTTGATCTGAGATCTGCCCGATGGCAGGATTTTAAGTGAAACTTTTTTTGAAGTGTTAATGTTGCAAGACATGAATAATGTAAAAATACTACACAAAGGCCATGTTGATTTGATTTTATGGATGACATCCGCGCGCGCATGAATTTGAATTTTCGCCCGTTTCCAAAAACAAAAAAAAAAGTTTTCGGACGTACTGTAAACCGTACAAAGTAGGTACAAAATGAGCAAATATATGCCGTCAATTGAAAAAGAAATATTTGAAAAAGATACTTATGTCGCAGAATGCCAAAATACATTTCAAAGGACAAGAAGAAAATGTGAAGGGATGAAAACGAAGAGTCTATTATTCACCATGGCAATAGAATATTACTATTTGTGTTTAGTCATTTGTTCAATCTTCATGGCCACTTAGATTTCATAATGAAGGCCAACTTTTTTTGTCAAACTTTTTTTTTCATTCGCACGCTCGCATCAGTTTTGGGGTTCCCAGAGAATGTCATCCATATAATCTAATCAACATGTAGAAAGCAAACTTTGAAAAGAGGGATACTCGAGCTCTAGCATCTGAAGGTTGAAAGAAATGCCACACGACTCTAGAGAGTATCTACGCCCGAGGAATTCGGGTCTTTGTATTTGTTTTGTCCCCTAGCCTCGTCTGATGATCACATGAAGTATAAGTGTTATTTCCCTCAAATAACTATCAATCACTTTTACTTATAGAGAGCTACAGAAATGTTTTTATTCAAGAGTACGTTTTGTCGTTTGCTTGAACATTACTATGCAGTTTAGAGTGTCCTTTGGCAATGCCATATATTCGCTTTCTGCACTTGCCTCGTAAAAATATCCATTGCGGACAAGAAATTGACCCTTAGCTGGACATTAGTATGTAGTAACGTCCAGGGGTAGTCGGGGCAATGTATGCATCACCTTTAACTTGTTGGGTAGTAAAGACACTCGTTACAGAAGCACCTTACTGTCATTTTTCATCGGGAACATCAACGACAAAAGGACCTTTTGACCGCTCCTTCGTACAGCATGCATGCGGAGTTTATATCCTCTAGCTACTGCTTTAAGATGACACTATGTCGCGGAATGAATGGTTATCTATATGATACAGTCTCAGCTATATGATCGCCTAGCAGTGAACCATATATTGAATCTGTAAGTGAAAACATAACGGTAAGTGACCGATGGACCTCTGTACTACTGATGTGGTCGCATCGGGAGTTCGGGCTTTAGTTGCTCACCCGACGTGCATGTTGCTTGTACTTAGAACAGTTAATAATACGCCTTGGTTCAGTTTTGGGTCGTAAAAATTTTACTTTTTGGGTCGTAAAAACTCTCGTTACAGAAGCACCTTACTATCATTTTTCAACCGAGAACCTCAGCGGCCAAAGGACCTTTTGACCGCTCCTTCGTACAGCATGCATGCGGAGTTTATATCCTCCAGCTACTGCTAGAAGATGACACTATATCGCGGAATGAATGGTTATCTATATGATACAGTCTCAGCTATGATCGCCTGGCAGTGAACCATACATTGTATATTGAATCTGTAACGCTCGTGAAGAGATAACGTTTAGTCACTGACTAACCTCTGCACTACCGAGTGGTCGGGAGTTCGGGCTGTTGCAATTGTTGCTACCCAGAAATGAAATCTGAAGGCAACTTTTCTTCAGCCAAACTTTTTTTATTCGCATGCTCGCATCAGTTTGGGGGTTCCTACAGAATGTCATTCATATAATCAAATCAACATGGCCTAACTTATATTGATCTGAAGATAATATTATATCATATCATGATTTGACGTAAATTTTAGTTAGCTCAAAAACCGCATCAAAGAACATCTGTGGGCAGACAACCTTGAACCATGGAGGTTTATCTCAAATAATATCTCGAGTCCATGCTTGAACCTAGTGGCAAAGATCATCATGCAGGAGAAGTGTGGCCATACCTATGGGCAATTTGAACCTACTGGCCGAGATCAAACAAAATTGAACCTACTGGCTTTAAAGATCCAAGAAGAAATTATTTTTGGGGCCATAGGGGCAGCCTGGTATCCGGTCTTATCGTGGTTGGGGTTTTCCTCGGGGCTGCAGAAGCCTGCCCCAACTACCACGATAAGACTGTATACCAGGCTATAGGGGCACTCAATTTTATGATCCACTATGCCTTGGAGGTGGTATTTAAAGGCAGATCCCATTCCCCTGACTTCCCCACGAAGTCAGGCACTGGGTACTTTATGTATTATAGAAAATGTCTACTCAGGAAAGAATAGGCGAGCCTGTGTCCTCTCCACTCGTGTCCGCAAGCTTAACCATTAGGCCATTGGCGCCACTTTCAACTACAATAAGGTCTACAATAAGTCTAAAATAATAGGTCATCAGTCAGTGGCCACAGAAACTCGTGATTCGGCAAAGTAACCTGGCACCTTTGAGCACTTGTTGACCCACGGAAGATCCCTTGTCTTAAGAGATTTGTCAACTACGATACTGAAGTAGGGATGGCTACAGTAGGTCGGCTGAAAATCCTCAGCCAGTGTTCATGTAGTTTTAATTTTTGGAACAAAGTCAGTTAGCTGTATACAGTATAATACTAGTTGTCACAACATTTATTTTACGCGTTCAGCGCGATCTAGATATCTAGACGATAAACAACTACTCCTATCACGCGGTCAGCCTTCTTAATTGCGATGGTATCGAACACAGGAATACTGAAAGAAGAGGAAGAAAAAGAAACACAACCTGGTGTTTTATTTCATAGAATTATTACCAATGTCATCAGACAGTCGTGGAATGGTGTATTATAAACGTGTGGAGGTTATTTGTAAAATTTACGGCAATCACATGGGGTCCTATTCATTTATGATATAACGGTTCCTATGCGAGCCCCAACTGAAACAAACAAATTTACTATCACAGAAGCTACCAAACATCTGCTTGCTGATGTAAGACTGGGCTTTTCGTGGACCTCCTTGCGGAGGTCAAACAGTACTGCAGGAAACCCGGAAGTTTTCAATATCACACCTGCTTCTGTACCAGGGACCTGGGTCTACATTAATTTTGTACGAGAGAAAATCCAGCTAACTTAGATCAAGCCCTGAACTGCCCCCTTTTAATTTGGGACAGGATGGAGAGACTGCACGTGACAATTGACGAGTCTATCGTAGGGGGACGCAGAGTGTTTGTATTCGGAGATGTACATGGCTGCTATGATGAACTGGGTAATGGGTTGGACATTTTACCAACGTTTGACGCACAAAAACGTCACTTATCTCCCTGTCTCCTTTGTTTGCTCATCCTGCTTTTTCTCAGATGTGACGCAAGAAGTTGGCACTCATTGCCACACCGTTGCGCTTCCTGTGCTTTCATACGTACGAGTATTACGTTAAATAGCTTAGATATTAATTACCAGGTTATTTCCGCCATTTGCAGATCACTTTATAGGTTAATGTCTAGACGGTCCATTGCAATCTCTACAGTACTAATATAAATTTATTATTCCAAGACAAATTTGATGTGTATTACAGTAAGTAATAAGTTATTGGTAGGTTCCCACAACTTTCTGTGTACAGGGCAGTGCACATCTCTGCCCTTGGGCCACAGAGCTATGGAGGCTGATGTATGGGTATGTTGTAATGTTGTATAGCTTATACATAATAATTACTTTTCTCTAGAAGAAGAATAAATCTCCATCCCTATCTGATAATGATATAATTAGGCAGGTGTTAAATAGCTTCCCCTCAGCCTCATTGCCGTTTAAATGCAAATTATGGATCATGAAATATACCCTAACTCTAAACTAGTCAGATAGTTTAATCCATATCTAACAGGTAGTTTGTGATAAATTGTATTTTCAAATGTATGTTGTCAAGCAATTTCTTCTCAGCTTTTACAAATTAAATCAAATCAACTTTATTGCTCAACAACTGACTTATATAATGAATGAAAGACCTTTATTGTACGTTTGTGCTCTAACAAGCTAAGTACAGGTCATGAATAGACAAGGAAAAGCATACAGCAATAATACTTAAACTATACATACTAATGTGAACTACTATTTACATTGTTCGACTTCTTCTCGCTTCTTGACGCAGTTATAGATGTATGAGCATATAGAACTAGTGATACATGATTTGTCAAGTTTCATAAGAAATATGAATTTTTCTGATTCATTTAAATGTCTAAAGTTGGGGAACTTATCTATTATATAAGAATATAGGAAATCTCTCTCATTACTATATAATGTACAATCGACTACGAAATGATACTCATCCTCAATCTTATCTAAATCGCAAAATTGGCAAATCCTTTGCTCTAGAGGAATGCGGTTGATGTCAGATGACCAACAGATGTTTTGTTGTGTTCCAGTTAGCCTACTTGACAGAGCAGAGGAAACTGCACCAGGGAACGTCCTCTACATTTCCGTTGGTGATCTCATCAACCGTGGACCAATGAGTGCCCAGGTGGTCTCCCTCGTCAGGAAGCACGGCATCCTTGCTGTCAGAGGCAACCACGAAGAGAACTTACTCTCAAGCCTTAGTACAAAATGCATGTCTGGGAAAAAAAGACAGCTTGCACAGACGCTGACAACAGAAGACATAAATTTCCTGCAGAACTTGCCATATACCATCACTATTTCTTCACTCAATGCTATCATTGTACATGCAGGCCTCATGCCAGCAGTTCCACTAGCCAAGCAGGATCCGTATGCCCTGACATGTATGAGAAATGTAGTGGAAACTAAGCCTGATGGATACAGGCCTTACAGTGAGACAGATAAGGGTGTAGCATGGGCTTCGGTATGGCCTGGACCTGAGCATGTTTATTATGGTCATGATGCACGGAGGGGAAGGGATGGAATACAGAGACATGAGTATGCTACAGGGTTGGACACAAGATGTGTCAAGGGAGGACAGTTGACTGGGATATTCTTAGATGGAGCAAAGGAGCTGTTAAGTGTGCCAGCTAAGATGAATTATTTTAGTGGATGAATGTTTCACCATATAGCTCTAAAATCACTTTTTATAGCACTATATTGATTTTGACTATGGGTAGGGAATTGAAAATCTGAATTATTGGAATTTATAAACTCTGAATAATGAGTATGGGTCACAATTTTGTGTTCTTTCGTTCTTGACATTTAGAATAAAGAACAAAGAATCATATACTTTATTTTGTTTTCCTACTAAATGTCAGGAACCAGAAATTGTATGAAAATCTATTATGTCATTTCAATGCACAAACTTTTTATTTTTTCAATAAAACTTCAATAAAGTTTCCCTGTGGTGCGATAAGTGACTTATACTGATTGTGTTTTTTCATTTATTTTGTTTCAAGTTACTACTGTATATTCAAAGTACTCTTTGTTTTCATTTTCTTAAATTTAGTAACGTTTCTTGCATACTAAGACATCTAAAGCATAGCACCTCAGAGGTGTCCACCCCTATAACAGCTAGTGGTTCCGTCCAACATGACATGACGTAATGCCTGCGCACCGTTGACAGATTTATCCCGTGAACTGCGCAGATATGGCGGACGGAGAAGGCTGAATCTGCAGGTAAATCTTAAAAAATCACACCCACCTCTCCATTTTACACCGCTCTCTCTGGAAAATGTTGCAAGAAATAATAACTTTGAAGTGTTAAGAATGCATAAAGATATAAAAACAGGAAATTCTGAGCTAAACTAAGCTCTGATGTGTGATACAAAATGGGAGTTTTACGTGGCGATTCGCCGGTTTTGCAGACGACTTTAGCTAACAAATCGGTTGCTTCTTTCTTTCCCAAAAATATTATCCCACGTTGTTCCTAAAACAATTGAACAATTCTCACATGGTTGAATACCTCCGTTAGAAGTATTGACACGTGATGCCAACTCAACAGTCCACATGGCATGACCGGACGCCAGGCAGCCAAGTGCTCAATTCGCCGGAAATATTTTTCTCCTCCCATTTTAATTCTAAAGAAAACATCTCTCCAAACTTAGGATGGGTATCAGATATCAAACGTTTTTGTTATTTCATAACCGTACTAAAGGTGGCACCGTTATGTTTTGGTCAGGTATTTCTCTAATTTCTGACTTGGAGAATCGGAAATATTCTTTGAAGGATGGTGGTGGGAGGGGCAGATGCCGTCATAATCCAATCTCCAAGCAGATGTTACGGTGGAAGATCATAACATTTTCTGACTGCCGGGCATTTTGTCAAGACCATTCCCCGCAAGCAGACGTTGGTGTGGACGATTTTTCGTGTCGACCACTTATTGAAGGGAGAAAATGGTCAACCCGACATCTGCTTGAGGTTAATTAGGCAAATCCACTCACACTGACAGATAGCAGTCAGCTGCCACGCTCCACACAGCTGTAGATAAGGGTATTTGTTGAGACGATTTTCTTGGAAACAACAGGAGGAAAGAATGATAAGCACTTAATAATACAAGAGCACTGTCAGTATCTGTGTCTCAGTGCATTCAAGTCTGTGGGTAAGGGTTAAAGAACCCAACACACTCTTCGAGAAGAGTAAGGATGCACCTTTGCAATGTACGTTTGCCTAAAACTAAAGAGGCAAGCTGTGGATGAAGTCTTGTGTCATAATCAGCCATTGAAGAAGTCTATTGCTTAAAAATTAATAGAAGTTTGAAAATTCAAGGGTGATTTTTTTCAAGACAATAATTCTGCTTAAACCAGACATCCTCAATGGAAAAATTTGTTAAAGAACCATGAGGGTGTTTATATCAATTATTGCATCTAAATTTGAAGTATTCACTGACTATTGTGTATTATTGAGCTGTATTTCAGCTGGTATTTCAAACTCAAAGCCTTTGGCACGTGCAACATTCTGTTTGTATAGGTTTGACCTTTGATCGCCTCGCTATAATATAGCCTGACTCCCAATGTGTGTACAGCCTAATTAAGGCAAACTTATGCCAGAAACTTATACCAGTGACTGACGCCATAATTCACATCTTTTGCAACACAGCAAACCATACAAAGTAAAACATATATCCTCCTTTTGAAATATTTAAATCCAGATGTAACATAAAAAAGGCTGGAGCTTAAACAAAAGAACAAACAAATTATTGAAATATGAATATCTTATGTTACTTGAGCAGATATACTACATTTCTGCAAATCTACCATACTCTGGTGCCTATACATTTCTTCTTCCTCTGTTTTTCCTTTTCCCTGAAAAATCTTCTATACTTCACTCAACCATGTGTGCAAAATAGCTTCAACAAACATGTACTAGACATCTGTAGCATGTAAATGTACTTGTAACTTGTAACTTGAACTTCAAGTTGAAGCTTCTTCTTATCTTACCTTTCCATACTGTGACATTTCATTTATCCAGCAATTCCAATTTTCTGAAGCGCAGGAGGAGATAGACTGTGGATGGGATAATGCACGTGTCAGCACACACATGGTTTCATGGGGCTTTTGGACTTACTCAGAAATATGAGCGGAAAGGAAGACGGTTCAGCAAAGAGGAGTTTTTCTTCGAGAATTCCATCCTTCTCCAAGAGAAGACAGCAACATCAGCAACAACAGCAGCCACAGGCCGGAGTGGAGGAGCCTCTTTTGGGTACGTTATTATCTATATCCTAGACATGGCTCGAAATACTGGGTGCATGTGCATTTTGTAGGAAAGTTTGTGCCAGCAGAATTTAGGACAAGATTGACACATAAGCCCCCTGGCAGCTTTCTACTGTACTGCAATGCAACTTCTATTTATCTATTATTGTATTAACATGTAAACACAATTACATTATGAAAGTGCTAAAAATATATCACTATCAGTCATGTGTTGGAACATTATCTTTTCCCTATACATATATTTCTATAGGGGATGCCAGTAAGACAGATAGTCCCAAGCAGCATTCATCATCAAGAGGTGCCCCGTACAAGCGCAACTTTGGGTTTGGCTTTAGGAAGAGACCACAAAATCTAAAGGAAAAAACAAACCCCAGTGAGATGGTCCAACAGTTGGAAGCGACCATTGCCAAGTCTGGGGGTGCAATGACAAAAGACAATCCAGAAAACAGATCATTAGACATAAAAAATCAACAGAGTGTACCGACTACACAAATTGCAAGACAAGATGCTGTGGACAGAACACCCAATGCTAATAGAACAAGGTGGGGCTTAAAGAAATCTCAGACAGTTGTGACTGATCGCAACAGTAATTTTGCCCTACCTGCGACCCCCGAGGTCAATCGTTCTATCCGCAACATGCCGAAGTCCAAGTCTGAGGAAAGCATCAAATCTACCTCGTCCCAGGAGAGGGCAAAAAGTGGGAGAAGCAGACTTCCCAAATCTCACACAATGAATCCCACCAGACCTAGCCAAGCGCAGCCAGCTTCCGGGACGGGGTCTGCGAGGGTAGTCAAACCCGTGGCCAGGCCGCAAAACCTTGTACGTCCTGGTACGGCGCAGTCCACTATGGAAACGCCACGTGTACGTACTCAGTCAAACGCTAGCACTGCATCAAATGTCAGCTCTGCCAGCTCTACTAGAACACCAAAGAAAACATCTCAGGAAACAACACCGAGGGAGGGTGGCCAGAAAGTAGAGGGAAGAAGTTTAGCAGCCAGTAAAAGTGCTGGTAAAAGTGTAGGTGGACAGAGTAGGGGAGGTACTGAAGGTAGTGTAGCAGACTCAAAGCCTTCTACACCAGGGAGGCAAGAAGCCAAAAGGGATGCCCGTGAAAAAGGGACTTCTGGCACAAGGACTCACAACAGGCAGGATCATTCAGCCAAAAGCCCCAAGAGTCCTGGAGTGATGACTAGTTCTAGACTCAAGCCTGAGTCTCCCCTTACAGCAACTGTGCGTAGAGACAGTTTTGACCTTCAAAACGAGTCAGCGTCGTCCGACCTTGAGTCGGATGACCTCATGTTAGACATGGATTCGTCACACGATGAGAGTTTCGATCAGGGCGACGAAAGGCCGCGGCATCACCGGCGGTGGCACAGTCCACGACGCAACGCAAGAACACCGACTGACGCAGACGGGAGGGAAGACAGCGACACTTTGGAAGAACTAGATACCAGCCAGTCACAGAAAAGGTGAGATTACAGCCATGCACAGGTTTTGACACTGTCATGGCTTTCACTAATTTAAAAGTTTTAGTAATAAAAATAATATAATTATTTGATAAATAAATATTTGAAAGACGTTATATAAGATGATATGTAATCTGCAATCTTTTTTCTTTATTTGTGTGTTGATCTTTTGACCTCCAAGCTCAAGGACTCGACAACAAAGGGTAAAGACACAGGGATGTTCTGAGCAAAAGTAAAGACCTTTTCTCTTCCATGCATGTTTTTATGTTGATGTTTGCAAATCACTTATGATTAAGTCTGATGATAGACTACCTCATGAACACATCGAGCAGTGCCTAGCCTTGATTTTGCCATCATTGATTGCATGTACAGCAGAGTTTAAACTAATCATATTATTTATGTTGTTCAAGCGGGTTAGCATGTATCTTTGGGAGTCCAGCTAATGTTTTATAAATGAAGTAAATGACCATCAATTTTTGCAAAAAAAGTGTTATGTGAAAGCAGCCATAAATCTTAGAATTTATGTCAGTCTATAGCATTTAGTTAATTAAAATCAGACTTAAAATGATGGAAAAATTGTGCTTTAATTTTATTGTTTCCCAGTCAAGTTGGTCAAGACAGAAATGCTGTTGCTACTCCTGAGACTCAGAGACGAAGAAATAGAAGAAGGTCAGAAAGAAGAAGGAGAAATATTACAATTTAAAAGTGTGGAAGTCACTGTTAGAATGGCTGAATATCTCAACACATCTCTGACTCTGAGCCTATTTTTTTTAATATAAATGATAATATGAAGGTTTAAGGCATGACTTTAAAGTCTGGGCCCCCTTGGCATTACTTACCTGTAACTAACATTTTCTCCACAGCACTGATAAAAATGCCTGCTTACACACTTCACAGCTGTCTTCATAATTCAGCAACTGACCCTGGGTTGATGAGCTGTCTTGTCCATTTATTCACTTAGATATACTGGATGAATATCAGCACTACTGATTATACTTCTAGCCTTTGCTGTCTGCATGCTGAATATGTCACTGTTATTCTTATGTAAATCCATGTCATGTATTATGTTACCTTACTTTTCTTGATACTATTGTACTACAGATACAGAAGGAGACAGTACGGAAGGTCGCGGGCCCAGACCACACCCTCAGAAAGCCCACACAGAGACAGGCCCCGTTCTCAGTCCACCCCCATGAAACCTCCCAGGCAGATGACAGCCTGCTTTGACGAAGAAGAAGGAGTCACCATCGACACTTCGTCCTTCAGATACCTTCTTCAAGACATGACGGGCATGAAGACGTGTCTACTGAAGCTGAAGAGAATTCTCCAGGAGGTATGAAAGTCTCTACATCCTAATGAGATTGAAGATGCACAACATTCTATTGTGGAGTGTCCACTATCTGATGATAAACACACAAAGCTGTTCAAACTTCTTTCTTCTTGCTCAACAGAATTTGTTATATTTCATGCTCTAGATAATTCAATTTTATTCTAGATTAGGTAATATTCCCTTACGGTTTACAAATAGGAAAATATACTAGTATCTCAAAGAATGTTTAGACCTTAGAACCTTAATTCATCTATAGTCTTGTACGTACTGTTATACCTAGGAATGTGTCTGTCAGTATGTCTAGTAAGTAAAGACCCTACAAAAGTCGCTGTACTTTTGTTGCATCTATTAAGCTCTTCTTAAACTTCCCTTCAGGCAGTAGATGCTTTCAGACACTGGAAAAATCTCATACCACTTACAGTTACACAAGGGAAAGACTGATAAATACACTGAAAGTTTTTAAAAATACACTTCTTAGAAATCCTCCGGCACAGCTGCCAGTATCATAGCAGCCAAGTTGAGATACAAGCTGAAAGAAAATCCTTTGAAAAGAATGTGCCACAAGTATAGAGTTTGCAAGAGTGATAAGGATAAAACTTGTACTAATCTCAGTTCTTTTGAGCCACCAACAAACGGGATTCAGCTAATACTGTAGCTGTCAATCTTTCCTGACATTTCTACAGAACTTGGTCGCTTCTGCTCGTAAGACATGCATAAGAGTAACACCATATGATGCCTATGAAAGCCATGTGGCGGCTCTATGTGACGCTTTGACATGTAGTGTCAAGGAGGAAAAGGATATACCTATATATAAACTTGATATCAAAGCCAAAAATTTGCACACTAGATATTTCTTTTGCCCTTTGCTACACACAGTGCTAATTCCCTCTAGTCTAAATGCATCTCTTTGATAAGGCCTGGGCTTTTAGTCAACTGAAAGGGGTGTAGGGAATATATGATTATGGCCCAGCTTCAGAGTTGACAATTCCAGGATGCTCATAGATATATGCTAGGATGACATTTTACTGTAATATATTCGGATTATGCTTGATCCAGTCTCATCTTTGTATATTGCACATAAGAGACATTGAAATATCTACAGTGTAGAGTAAACATACCTTGCATTTTGAATTTAGCCTTTATTTCAAGGCTAAGTTACTTTTATAGTAAATAAAAAGTAAACAAAAAAATACACTGTAGCTCTCTAACAAACAGCGTAAAGTTTGGCTACTTATCATAACTTTACATTTTTTTATCCAGTTAATTGAACAGAACCTGTATTGAAAGATATACAAATTATGCAGTGGTATATACATGTGAATGTGGAGTTTGGCATTTTAGATGTAGATGTGTGAAATTTTCTTTTATTGCCATTATCATTGGTAGTATTACAATGTATATAAAAGTTCTTGGTGGATATGTGTTTGAGTAAAGAAACTAGACATTTTCCAATTTTTCGGTACTAAGAACTCCTTGTTTCTAACAGGTGGAGACATCCTCTCCATTCGATCAGACTACAGCTGGAAAGGTAGGACTGATGACTGATCGGGCACATCTGAAAGTAGCATGAATGCTGCATGCTTTTTAACACCTGTGCGAAACCTGTAATGTATTGTGCATAGCACTTCGGCAAAACGTCTCATATATTAAAAAATTTCAAGCTGATGAACCTTTTTTAGCTCCTTAATCTGACACCTGAGTGATAAAACATTGTACAATTGGTTTTCTAACATTGAATTTGAAAATAAAAGCGTCCTCATGTAAGTTTTACTTTGTTAAACTGTATTGTACAAGTTGGACCCCTATATATCACTGAAGTCTAAAAAAAATGTGTATGTGCACTGCCCATTAGGCTTTTACACTAGAGTAACTCATTGACCACTGAAGTGCTCTTCAAATGATTCCAATTGACATTTGGGCATGCAGCTCATCAATAGATTCTTAACTTATTTGATCTTTCAGTCAAAGAAGTCAGATAAGAGAAACCCAAGTTGTTTCTTGTACACTATCCATTTGGTTGAGTGACTTTGATTTACTGGTAGCCTTCGTGTTCTGATAGAAAACACCATCGCCAAATTTTGATTTGAGATGTTGAGTTTGCTTAGAAGCATATAAGTCACTGTTTCTTGGAGAAGTGTTGACTTTGAAGTACGTTTCTTTCTTGTCACTCAGGGATATGCAGACAAGAATCATTTGATGTCGGCAATGTTAGATGGGGCTGTGGGAGAGGTAGAAGGAAAGGACATGAAAAAGGTTTGTGTTCTTGCAAAAATCAATGTCTCCGGTTCTTAGTACATCTGTAGTTAGTTATATAGCTTTTAGGTGTGTGAAGAAAACATTGCCATTGGGCATCATCAAGTGTTGGCCTTCATAAATTATGTGGCCACAGTTTTGCCCAGATGGCGCAAACAACATATCTTGCTTGTAAACCCCAGTAGTGGAGTGCTTGCTACAAAATTTTGCTGTAACTAGTGTAAGGGTGACTGACATTCTTCATTGGGAAATTGTCAACTGAGAAGTCCCTCCTGTATTTTGTATATGCCCTGGGTTTAGGTCCAGACTTACAAGTTTGGACCTGAACCTAAACCTCTGCACTTGAATCCGGACCTGGACCTAAACGCGGGTTTAGATACGCAGTACTGGAATGGTGTTATGCTACATGAAAACGCTTTGTACATACATGTAGCAATCACTTTTTTTTTGTTTTGGCCCAGGAGAATGAAGACCTGAGGCAAGAGCTTGCACAGTTGAGACAACAGCTGACTGAAAAGGACCGTACCATTTCTCTACTCCAGACACAAATGGTACATTCCACATGCAACATCCTGGCTTCAAAAAGCTGTTGTCTTTTGTTTGTTATTAAAAGAATTTTGAAGATTTTAAAAGTATTTAGTCAAAAGTTTGATGTTTTGTTGTTGTTTCTTTTGCAGGAAAAGTACAGCGATGCCAGAGATGGCCATGTCACAAAACGTGGAAAATCAGTTGCAACACAGACAGAACCACAATCAAAGGTACCTGTATCTAGTTTATAGCCCCCCCCCAAATGAATTGTAGGATTTGATAATGCTAATGCATAAGGCATGATCATAAAAGGCGATTAATAACATCCTTGCTCTTTTTCTTGCCAAATGTTGAATAGATTTTAATGACAAGTAGAGAGAAACATGATATAGCTCATATCAAACATTTAGCTAGTATTTTAAATGATCATCAATTTTAAAAAATTGATGATCATTTACAAAAATATATACTAATTGTGCCAGACCATATGTACATTAGTTGTGAAAATGAAAAGTCTTGCAAAAAGCATGCACAAAATTCTAAACCAATTAAAACCCTGGACAATGTACTTAGATGATTTGTCCAATTACGATAAAAAAAAGATACATAATATAGTTGTTACAATGTACTGTAGTCATAGCTTTACTAATCAAGTGCTAGCTTTGCAGTTGATAAGAAAATCAACAACTTTTTCAATTTTTACAATTTATTTTGAAGTTATTCTAATAAATTCAATAGAATCCTTAATCATTTCTTATAGAAATGAGGCATAATTTCTGTTTTCAGATCATATTTCCTTTGACTTGTGTAACATTACTACAGTGTAACAGCAGTTCTATTTCCATCCTGGTCTTTCTCCCTAACAGGTCTGTGTGTAGGGTCTGAGCTGAAGAGCTTAATACATTGTACATGTGGCCGCTCTTCACAATCTTCTGTCCGCATGCTGTCTCTTTCTACTTCCTCTTCTTCCATTAACGTGCAGATCATGCATCATCATCATCCCTTCTAAGAAATGTGCCTTTCTCCACAGCGTTTCCCTTGGAGTAGATCATCCCCGTTAAGCAGATCTCAATCCATGCGAGAACCTAGCCGTGAGTTCTCTTGCAATACTAACCGTTCACTAGGAGCAATCTTGGTTGCAAGGTTTTGTTTTTTTGTTTCTTTTCCCCTCTTTTTTTCTCCCAACAGAGAATTTAATGTACAAGATTCTGCTGTCTTGGTGAATTGTACTAATTGTGCATGCATGGCTTTTGTCTTTCTGTGCTCAACATTTTATGATTGACATCATTTTGTCCTGCTCTTTTCCATTCTTTCAGTCTCTAAAAATTTTTGCTATTATACAAGTGATGCACAATGTGTAAGGTATATGTGTATAGAGCTTTCGTAGCAATCACACCTGGTCCAACTACTAGTGCATATTCTCCAGCCACTCTCACATTTTAACACTGTTTTACTGGTTATAAGGTAAAAATATACCGTCTCTTCATCAATTCACTTCCAATTTGGGATCAAGTTGGCATTGATTCTTTTACTTACATGTACATGTACGTTTGCCCTTTGTTTGTGGTGTAGACTCAACATCTAACTCCCCTCTTACTATTCTGATTTAATGCAAAATTGGTCAAGTAACTGTAATCAAATTACTTTCTTTACAATTGTTAATATATCATATTTTCTAGCTCTATACTCAGTAGTTTATATATTAGGTAAAACTGAGTAATTTCTAGATATTAACATTTTCTGGCCAAGTCCCGATGTAGTGTTAACCACCTGTTTCACAAATCACGATTATTATTACTGTTACAAAACATGTAATCAAAGTTGACCTTAGGTTAATGATTACATAAAAGTACTGCAATTAACCTAAGGTTGGCCAAAAAGCAGTTACTCAAGCAACTGGATATGATTTTGAAAACGTAAGACGTTTCAGCTAGTATCCACTAGCTTTCGTCAGTGACTGACTCAGCTGAAACGTCTTACGTTTTCAAAATCATATCCAGTTGCTTGAGTAACTGCTTTTTGGCGTATCGTATTACCTGGATGTCTAACCTTCATCGACGTAACCTAAGGCTGTTTAATGATTTTTTTCATCGTTTAATTGGACTGAAATGCAAACTCTGGTTTGACAAGGACCCCTTCCAATTCATGCCAACAAATTCTGAGAACTAGCTAATGATGTCTCACAGACCTTTGCCTTGTTCTTGGAAGGAGAACTCAATACACCACTCAGTAAAGTTGCTAGTTCATTTAAAAGTTTTGTATATTGTTTTATATACCTGCCATGCTTGTTGTTTGCTTGAATTTTAAGTTAATTCTTTGAATCGTTTGTAAGAGGCTTTTTCTTTGGCCCTTAAAGCCATTACACCAGGGAGAAAGAGGAGAAATAGGAGACAAAAGAACGGCCAAAAGTTGGAATCAGATACCCAGGGTAGGGACTTGGAAATGATTGGGAATGCAGCATGCCCCCCTCCCCCATACTTTTCCTCATTCCAACAAAGTGTCAACTTGCTCATACAATTTTAATGCTTGTCTATACATGCAAGCCTGTGGTTGGTATAACAGGATTATACATGGACCTGAAATGAAACTTCCTTTCCTTTCCTTTAAAGTTCAAGATGTGCAAATCCAAAAAGATGTGGCTGTCAAAAGCATGCATCCTTCCATACATGTACAGAGTCATGTAAGAGAATGCATTCTGACATATCTTTCCCGTGTGAGAATCTAAAACTGTTAAAGTTTCCTTCCATCACAGCTTCTCTTCTGTTGTAGACCTGTCACAATGATCCTGTTTTCCTTTGCAGCCTATGTTAGATGTTTGTAAGAATACATACATCATGCATACATAGTGTTTGGTGTAGTGTACATGTAGCTCATTCAATACCAAGTAACAAAGACTAAAGCTTTTATGTACATATCTTGTAAAGCATTGTCAACAAATTTAAATCTTTGATAAACCTCTATACTGTCTAATAAACGTTTGGAATAACCACTATCCTTAGGGACACAGCCGAACCAGACTGTTCTCTCCACCCAACGAAGATCAGAAAGAAGATCGGCCCAGAAGTCTCAGGTGCTTTAACCCTTTGAAAATATTTCTTATTTTTAACTTTTGGTTTTCTGACCCAAAATTATTGTTTGTCAGCTTTAAGGCCCTTTAATCATGTGTTAATTTTGTTCCATTGCATTAATGATTTTTTCCAATTTCCTTGTTCACCACAATCTTGATCCTATAACCCATATATCATATGAAAAAAAAATATTACGATAGTTGTTCTTATTGCAGGTTATTTTGGACCCTATTGAGGAGTTATCTGAGTGAGAACCATGCTTACTTGATATGGTGATGGTTAACTGGTTGGTGGTTGTTGGGGTTTTAACATATCAGCACCAACTTCTAAAAGAAAATGTTGCATCCACTTGGAATCATTTATTGTGTAAGGGAAATAATACTAGTATGTTGTTTTGTCCCATGTTTAAGTCTGCAATTAAGAATCTGATGGTCTTTTCCACATAATCTGAGACTTAATTGTGTTTAGGTGAAAAGTTTTTGCAAAAATAAACTAAGAGTAGTCAAGTATTCACCTCCAGACTTTATCATGTTCAACTTTCCTTATAGCCTAAACCTTCTGGTGTCTGATGAAGGGGAGGAAGAGAAGGGAGGCATTCACCATTCATCATCAAGTCAGCAGCATCTCAGTGATACAGAGCAGGCAGTGGACATTCTTTTAGTTCAGCATTCAGATGTAAGCACCCACGGCATAACAGGATCACAGGAGGACAACACTGAAGACATGGACAGGGACAAGGCTGATGAAAAACATGACTTTGATTCACTCACTACTGAAGATTATAACAAAATCAGTGAAAGTATTGCCCCACAGCCAGTTGATAAAGAAAATGTTAGCATTAAGGTCAAAGATGTAACAGCACTAAATGTCAGTCAGGTACCATTGGGGGGAACAAAAGGGGACAAATGTGTGGCAATGTTGTCTTTTGTTGGTGCTGAAGTGACGGCCACTGACCCAGTGACAACCCATGATGATAAAATGCAGATGGCACAGGAAGAAGTGGTGTCAGGTAAAGATCGAGAAAGACAAGAAGCCAACACTACAACGGAGAGCACTAAAGAAAGCTGTATCTTCCCTGTCCTTGGTGCTGAAGATGCAGTCATTGCCACAGCAAGAGAAGATGAAGCAGGGTGCCTCCTTTCTCCAACATGGGTCACCGAAGACGTCAAAAGAAACAAGCAGCAGCAACATGAGTATAAAATTGGTACTACAGATACCAGCACAGAAGAGTCCTTTTCCATTCCTGGTGCTGAAGTTTCGACCAGTTCCGAGCATGAAGTTATTCCTCAGCCTTCAGTGCAAGACATTGAAGACCCCACTCCTCTTAACACAACCTTCTCCATTGAGAAAGATGACGATTCGATGTGTGAAGATCCAGCTCCAGATGTTACTCAGAACATAACTCAGGAAGAAGGGAAAGAAGAGGGTGGTGCCCAGAAGATCACTGCATGCACAGAAGTCCCAAATCAACCAGAAAACAGTGGTGAGAAGAAAAACAAACCCGTGGCAGCAACTTCCAGAAGCAATCAACCACCACTGCAAGGGAAAAGGCAAGAAAAAGTGCTTCCAGAAGACAGTGAAACGTCAAAGGAAAAGAATGGTGGTGTAGACCAAGGCTTGGAGACAATAAGAGAGAGGAGCTTGAGCTTTGCAGGGTTCGGTAGACCAGCTTCAGGTTATCAATGTAGAAATGTGTCATATGCAGATGTCCTCTCCACAGGCACACCATCCAAACAAGGGCCTACACAACCCCTCAGAGAGAGGTCACAAAGTTTTGCTGCATTGAAAGGAACACAAGGGCGAAGGGGCATCCCTATGTACCAGAAGGGTAAGGAAAGGGCAACAACAGAAGGCATTATGGGAAGAAGTCAAAGTTACCAGGGCCTCCAGGAGCAAGGGAGAAGTGGGATTCCCTCCATGAAGAAAGGCACATCTGTAGATGTGAATGCTGATGGGGCTTTAGCAAAAGGGAAGAGTCAGAGCTTGGCAGCATTGAAGTTCAAGGGGCAGAGAGAAAGCAGAATGCCTCTGCCTTCACAGGGTAGAGGTGCGCAAAGGTATACAGGTCAGGCAAGGGAATCCAGCATCCCTGAGATGAGGGGGCGAAGTTTCACCTTCCCAAAGTACAGGAACACTAAGGAGACCACAGAGAAACATAGCAAAAAGCAACCACAACATGCACCAGAACAAGCTGCAGACACCGCTGTCAAGGCAAGTGATGCAGCTCCCTCTACTCCAAGAGGAGGAACTGCAGCACGGGAGTCCAAATTGCCAGTGGGCACGGAACAGAATGCTCCTACACCAAAAGAAAGAAGCAAGGGTAGGATTCCTGTGTTTGGGAAATGGTACAAGCGCTAGATGGTCTGGATATACTCAGTAGAAGTTGGGGGGGAAATTGGTTACATGCAAAATAAAGCTAAAAGATGTACACTGTAGATGCATGCATGTAAAAACTGTTTTAAAACTAGACCATAGACTCCATTATCAGGTTTTGCTTCAATTCCATGTAAGACAAGAGGTTTTTTTTGTCCAGGGTACAATTTATGGTCACCTACTGTGGGTGTCAAAAATATGCCTGGATTATTGTACGAGTCTAAATCCAGTTAGCTAATCTTGAGATTTATACATGTATCAGTGCCAGTTAAACCAAATCAATGGGAAAATTATGCGAAAACAACAAGCTCAGTGACTGTGATATAGTTTTATGGATGTCAATCATGTATAAAGTATTATTAGTGTGGTAAAATGTTGTATCACAAAGGAACCTTTTTGTGATCGGGTGAACTTTTGGGCACTACTGTACACAATCATCGTGGTGAAAGTCAGATGTTTTAATATGTCCCTCATACTTTTTGAGTGAGGTAACTATATTGTATTTTAACATGTGGAACATTAAATATTATGCACAGGGAATATTTAAATGCTAAAATAACCTTGCAGCCCCAAATTGCAACATAAAAAGAGTTGAGGCATATATCTACTGGTAATTATTAAGTGGAACAGTAGCAGGCGTACATGTATATGAAGAGTAGCTTGATAAATTTGCTGCATGTGCAATAACTATAACGTAACCATTGTGTTTTAACAGGAGTGCTTACTGCAGTAAGATATTGAGTCACTGGTAATTGTGGCGTAGAAGGATAAATGTGCTTTGATTGTATGTGAAATATGTTGCAAGTAAAAATCTCAAGTTAAAAAATACTCTGCCCTTTAAAGTATTTGGTTTCACCATGACTGAACACATGGACATGCATGTAGCTTATACTTGTAGCCACACCATTTAAATCATCGGCCGTTGCATGTAGTTGAGGAGTCACACCTTTTGCTTCTTGAAGAAAGAACCCACCACAATTATGCTATACGTAGCTGTTGCCTAAAGTCATGTTCCTACATGTTGACATATTAGACTATTATTACAGTTCTAAATTGACATCAGGGCTAGTTAAACCAGAGAAATTATGTTTATTTTTGGATAGTGACAGAAACTTCTCTAATTATGACAGGTGAAATGTACTGTGAATTATTTACTCTTAACTGTGCGGTGTGGAAAAGGCAGATGCTGCATGCTTTTAACTGTAACAAATATAAACTGTAAGGTGTTTGTGATGATATTATATAGAATGTTGCACTGTCGAGTTGTATTTATGATACAAATAAGGCTAATTATACAAGCAAAGGTGGTCTATTCAACTTTTGTTCTGATTTCAGTGGCCAAATTTAGACATTGCAAAGCTACATGTATAAGAATTCTATGCTTTCAAAAATAATTTTATTAAAGGTACTATAGGTCCTGAAGAAAATTCTAGTATGCAATGTTGTTGTATCACACATTTGTACCAGCCACCTTTGGCTAAAACATCTTCTGGTACCACCAAAAATTAGGGAAACTCAGTGCAGGTTGTTTGTGCGGTTTGGTAAGGCTAAAAACACTATTTAATTGAGCTGAAAAGTGACTATATATCTATATATCAATAACATGAATTTTCTAAAGTATTTTTTATTTTTGTTCCCATGAGAAATCTTACTTTTCACATAGAAAAATTCTATTGTCATAACATAAGAGTTCCCTAAAAGTAAGTGTTCAATGACTGTTATTGGCACATCACATATGCATGTGCCATGTCATTTTAGGTTACTGACAAAATGATGTTGCGGTATAGCTTCAGTGACATGTGACATTGCTTTAAGTCCTGTAGAGACTAATAATAATAGCTTGTGTCAATACAGATCATTAGTTTGAAAAAAAAACTAAAATTGAATGGACTGTGTTCACTGCTAACAGGTGATTTAAAAATTATACTAGTTTGTCCAAAAGGGTTTAATGGTGTCAGCATCACGTTTAACTTTATTTAGTACCAAAAATATGTTGCTAAAAATCTCAAAGAAAATTCTATTTAACTCTGCTTCTAGATGTTGCAAGGATTTTACTATCAGTGTTTTAGTGTACAATCATGAGTTATGATTCATTTATTGTGGAAATGCCTTTACTATGCCGTATCGGTTTGAATGGAAACATATGCAATTTTATTGTCCATGATAGAAATACCCTGTCATTATGTTTAGCGGGTTTATTCCATTATGAGGGAGCCAGGCATTTCAAAGTAAAACACCCATAGCTGTTCCAACTTACTGAACATAATAAAACATTTCGCTATGGTCACAGAATTAAAACTTTAAATTTTCAGTGAAAATCAATGTATTAAGTTGTGGCAAAAAAAAGATGTATTGGTCTCAACATGCAGTAATGTCCCTTAAAATTATCTATAATGAACACAAATAGAACTTGTTGTTGCTGCTCCTGTAAAGAATTATAGACATTCAGTATAATTTCTGCAGACAGCAAGAATTACATTGTAATTCCCTACCAAAGGGAGAGTGGGGTATATAGTGATCTTTTATTCAGTCTGTATTGTTTCTGTTTTCTGCATTGTGACTTTTCGCTTGGGAATGAAATATCCTTTGTGGGTTCACTGGATGGTGTTCAGCACCAAGGATAGGTCTGTAAAGTTACAGTTTGATAACATAGGGGATTTGGGAATTCTATAACAAAAACTGGTTCAAAATTCTGTACATGTAACCTAGAGCTGGCATGCGTTATGTTGTGCCATGTACATGCACATGTACGTGCTGTGAATGTGTACCTTACATGTACTTCGCTCTGAGTACTTCTGAATAAAAGATTTAATTTGATGGAGAAGCGTCTGCCAACCTGTTTACTGAAGCTGAAAATAAGACTTGACATTTGCTCACTTGACATGATCATATAGAGAAGGGCTGTGCTTACAGCTACTAACAAGGCACTAATTGCTTAATGCCTGAACGAGCTTTTAGTGTAAATTATACGAACAGCTGGGGTTGAGAAGAAAGATATCTTTTGATTTGAAGACAAAAGTAGCTTCTTAAAGCTTTGATATTTTTTTGATGTTACTGAATAAACCTCTTAATGCTAATAATAGGCCTTGTCTAATGCTTCAATACCATAATTAATTTGTTTTAATACTAATTGTCTAATTTACTAAATCTAATTGTACATTATACAAATCAACCAGTATTATACAAAGCTTAGAAAAATGCAACAGAATTCTACAACCATGTGGAATGTAGTTCATTTAAGAGCTCACCTCTATGTGTATGCCCTGTGCACAATTATAGACTATGCTCTCAAATCTTAAACAATGTACCTTTCTTTAAAGCCATTCTAAATCACGCTTAATATTGCCCCAATCTTAAATCATTACGATAGAATGGAGTTTCATTTCGAAACACAATTGTTTATCTTTTGGTGAGTAGGATTAACATTTTAGGCTTTGAATTAGTTAGATTAGCAACTTTTATCGAACAATAATCTGACACTGACTGATTTGAAAGGCACTTGAGCACTATCTTTTTTTTTATGTTGGATCACCTGCCAAACAAGCCGCCAGACTTAGATTTTTTACTAGCAGTACTCTTGTATCCCTTCTTGCTGCTGTCCAGCCAAGAGGGTAGCTTCCTTTTAGTTCCCTGTGAGTCTGCAGGCTGGGATGGGGACTGTGTAGACTGGGAGGAACTGGTAAAGCTACTGCTGGCCCGGGGACTAGCAGCATACTGGGACAGGAACTGGGAAGGCGGTACATTTGACTGGAAATAAAAAGAAATGGAATAGGTCATTGAATTTAGGAACAAGGATAGATTTAAACTAGAAAGGTAACAGTTGTAAAGCAAATGCATAATGTTTGGTTTAGCCTAACAAACTACTGCTCTATTTATTGTTACTGAAACAAATTCATATATGGTGACCAGCCTCTCCAACCTTGTCCTGCTACATAATGTAACCCAACACCACGGGGTGCCTGATACAATGGTAGTTACCATGGAGACAGACGTCTGGTTCAGGTAACTGACTTTTTCTTTGGAGAAAAAGAAGAGGAAGAAACAGAGCAAAACAAAATCTTTTCCTTCTGCGAAGGTAGGCATAATAACATGGAATGAATGCAATTCAGCACCAAGGACAGAGATATAAGGAGTGAGCAGAAAATTTGGGGGTAAGTCCCTAATTAATTCCAGTGTTGGAAAGAAAGCTTATTCTCTTTATTTCATATAGTTCCTACCAAGTTGACATCTGTGCTGACATCCTCAGGCTCTGCCATTCCAAACTGTAGCTGCAGGCAGGCGATGACCATCTTAATGTGACCGTAGTCGATATGGTTTGGCAGCACTTCTTTGATGGCTGACAGGCGGCTTACATCTAATGGTGAAATAAGGAATATTTCAGTATCCAATGCGATTTCAGGGCAGCAAAACTGGAAATATTCTGAATCAGGAATCTTTGACATATATTGCTTCACCTTAGCACATTTAAATCAGCATTTCATATTTAGAGCATTTAAAACCAGAAACAAGCCCCAAGATGAGTCCTTTATTTTCTGGGTGGTACCCTAAAAATCAGCCCAGGGCCCTTCCTGGGGGAAAAAACATTTTCCATCAGAATTTTTGGCATGTTTGCTCCATGAGGGTCAATATACATTTGGATAAGTGTGGCTTCAACTCAGTATGTAGATAAATGACTAAAATATTGGCTTTGAAAAATCAGGTTTTCAAGCCATAAAAACTGGACTAAAAAGGGTAAATGGCCTAATTGCTCTTTTCATGCCATAAACTAATAATAGCACTGGGTTGTTAACATGGTTTTTGGCATGGTTATTAAAAGGTAGAGCCTACATCCCACACCCTCTACAATGTGTTCCCTTGTACCTCCAAACCAAAGTTAGGTACCTATTTACACCTAGGTTAAGTGAAGAAAGTCATTCAGTCATCCAGGCTCAAACTCTTGAAGCTAGCAAGACTTAGAAACACCCCCATCTTCTTTTGACCTATTCGTAAAGGATCCTTTACTGTATGGATTTTGTATGCTTCAGTTCAAGAGTTATTACCATGACATCCTCTGAGCACCCTCAATAAGAGTTGTGTAAGTGCTGCACAAATGCAAATAACATTCAGGCTCAAAATCTTAAAACTAGCAAGACTTGGAAATACCCTGCCCATCTTCTTTTGACCTATACGTAACGGATCCTTTACTGTGTGGAATCTATATTGTTTGCTTCAGTTCAAGAGTTATTACCATGACGATTACGTAAGTGCTGCACAAATGCAAATAACATTCAGGCTCAAAATCTTAAAACTAGCAAGACTTGGGAATACCCAGCCCTTCTTCTTTTGACCTATTCGTAATGGATCCTTTACTGTATGGAATCTATATTGTTTGCTTCAGTTCAAGAGTTATTACCATGACATCCTTTTGACACCCCCAATACCGATTACGTAAGTGCTGCACAAATGCAAATAACATTCAGGCTCAAAATCTTACAAACTAAGGACCTTTCCTATAAGGATATTGAATGCTTCAGTTCAAGAGTTATTGCCATGACACCCTCGATAACAGTTATGTAAGCGCCGCACAAAGGCAAGTAACGTCAGAGAGTGGCTACTGACGTCACTGTAATGACAAAAACAGGAAGGATGCCCACACTCCAATTATCCGCGGATGCCAAGATGATTACAAGTGATTATTATCAGTAATTGCTTTCTGGGGCTAACACGGTGAGTGATTGTGAATGTGCCCTCTCCATACAGCTGTCTGCTTATACATTCTCTTCACAAACCTGTGCTCAGAGTCTTCCCATGCAATATTATAATAGTCCAGACCTTAAGTTAGTGGTTGGTTAAGAGAAGTGGGGCCAGTACTAGGCCATGCCTACACATATACAGGGCTCGAAATTCGTTTTTGGGAATAAGTGCATTGGTGCACCCAACTTAAAAAATTGGGTGCACAAAAATTTATAATACATTTAACATCTGTACATACATGGGACGTAAACCTACAAAAATATTTGCCATGGGGTGCACCAGTGGTCCCATAGAAAAAAATTGGGTGCACAGCTCCAAATTTGGGTGCACTAAGGCGCACATACACCAGTATTTCGAGCAATACATGTATTACTTTTCCCTCTAGGCTTTACTGGCATTGATAGCCTACACTACTACTAGTAGTACTAGTAAATGGTTCCTTCTAATTGGGAGATGGGCTTGATCATTATCTAATGGGAAATGGGAATGGAAAACACACTTTGAAACATCTTTCCTCTTGCCACTCAGGTGTAAATGGGCACCTGACTTCAAATTTGAAGAAGAGGGGTTGGTCTCTTGTCCCAATACAATGTGGAAGATATGATGGAATAGCAAGCCACTGCCCATAACACAGCCTCAAGCATGCTATGAGAACTGTGCTCTTTCACCTGTCTTTCACAGTGACTATTAAACAACCAATAAACAAGTGTGGTAGGTTGTTAGGTAAAAAGTGTAAAGGCCATTACTGATACTAATCATTTCTGAGAATGACTAGCATGTTTTGAAACACATGAATTTACTGCATAAATGGCTATCATATAAAAATAAATGATTAATTTTTAGGATAGCAAGTAGCATGCCTAAACATCTATTGGGTCTATTACTACAGTGTTACTGTTACTGCAACAGTAATGATACAAAATTTTGATTGAATTGTGCTTTGCAATATTGGCTAAAGTCCAAGTTGTGCAAAAGGGAAACTGAAGTTATGCAAAAGGAAAACTAAAGTAAAGTTCATCAGTAGCTTTTTTTTAAGCTGTATGGGCTGCATCTTGGGCATGCTATTAGATTAAAAAGTGCCAATTCCTCTTCTTCCACTGCTTTTTTACCTCCACGGCCTACATGTAAGTTAGGAACTACCCAATTTACAATAATACATAAATGGACCTGAGTGGAGTGTGGAAGGTCATGTAAAGTCTATTCAGGACAATGTCTAGCAGGGAATCAAACCAGTGACCTATTGATCCCTTGTCAGTCAGCTTAACCACTTGGCTCTTTGCCTGTCCAAGAAAAATTGCAGTAAAAGGCTGGATAATGTACTAAGAGCATTGTTCTGATGGAATTTAGACAAGAGTGAAATCCACATTTCAAACATGCATTATTCTGACTTGCAAAATGTTTTTGACCCTTTCCGAAATGTCTCTGATGAGAAATAGTATTTGAAGAGAAATACATGTTGTAGGCATCGACAGTTGTATTATTAGCATTCTAAGCATTCAAATATCAAGACATGAAGCCTTATAACAGTCAAGATATGACATCTTTTATGATATTAGGTAGCTTTGATGAAAGTCATGCCTTGTCAATTTTTATAGTCCGCTCCCACCCAAAATCCTGATAACCCCTTAACTTCTTTACTTCAAAAACCCTGCATCATGTTTGCCCTTCATACTTGCAAGGTCACTGAAAGGTCAACTCAAAAGCAAAGATACTTGAATATCAATGCATGGACATGTGCTAAAAAACAACTTTGCCATGTAAAATGAAAGGCTTTAACAAACAAAATAATGCAAGGAAGTAACTCTTAAGACCAGATTTAATGAGAGTTTATGTATGTACTACACAATTATTATCATTGGAAAACATTGATCTGTGGTAATGTAAAATGATGATTAAAAGCATTGTCTTTTCGAGCTAGAAATGCAATAGAGCACTGCATTAACGGAATATATGTCAAGACAAATAGACATTCCCAGCTTTCATATATTTACCTTTGTAACCTTACGGTAACCAATGACCCTTTTCACCACTTATGACTTGCCCTTCTAACCCTGAACAATTCCTCAAAGTCACTTATATATAAGCTGCATTGGTCGATTTTTCAAAGAAACTGTACCAGAACTTTATACAAGGACTACCTTGGCCTTCATGGTCAATTGAAGATCATTCTTAACAACATGCACTTGCCAACAGTTCCGGAATGAATGATGCCCTAGTCTATCCAATCATCTTATATAAGCCCCATAGGTTGATTTTTCAAAAAACTGTACTTTGAACCATGCCTGCATATAAGTCAATTCAAGATAATGGCCAACAGCACCACAGTTCAGGAATGGATAATCTAGCTACAAACTTTATGTCCCAAAGTATTTAGAGTTTTTTGCTACTTTTGCACATATTTGTAAGTTGCACACAGTTCCAGCAGCATGAAAGTAAGGTTAGCCCAAGAAGCAGGGTTGCTAATCACACTTGTTCCAAATTTCCAGTTATTGGCCATCATTTATTAGATGTTACTACTGAGTGTGCATTCTTCTGGCATGCTAGTTAGCAGTGATTTCAAGAGATTTGGATACAGAACAACCCTGAGATCGATAAGGAAAACCTGTAAAACGTCCAGTGACCTTGCACTGTTACCAGTTACATGTTGTTAGTGTTGGGAAGGTTGTGTTCTGCTTGGTCAGTGGAACTAAACCGATAACTGGCAACAGGATAAGATACATGTATCTACTGTGTTTAAGGGAGAGAGAATAAAAACTTATCGGTAGTGCAATACCTGCATCATTGAACCCTAAATCCTTTTAACTTCATGCCATGATTTATTTCTTTACAGAGTATCTGTTGAGGTCAATGCAATGGAGTACTCAAGGAAAATGGGCCAAAGTCGGGAAACTGCAGTACAGAAACCCACAAGTGTGTCCATGCATGCCTGCACACATGCATGCACACGCATGGACACACTTGACTTTATTGGTGTGAAGTTCATTATGTGCATCATCTAAATTTTGCGACATTTGCATGCCACCTGTTGGCCCTGATAAGAACTGCAGACAATGTAAGCACACCACATTTTCAACATTGACAAACTTTAAAACCTAAAAAAAAAAACTTTTTAACACCGCCTAGAGGTGTGATAACTACATAGAAGAACTTTATTGCACGACAAATGCACATGGTACATTGTATGGCAAACTACATAAAGAGAGTAACAACAATAAAATAAGTGTGTTAAATAAGACCTAATGTCGAATAAACCCTAACATATCTATATCATAATCATTCAAACAATAAGGGATATCACAAGTCTTTGATATAGTGTTACAATCGAGTGGGCTAATCACAAGTTACGGTATTTTTTCTAATAGCAAAGCATTCCTTTATATATCTACCTATTTTTGCGTTGTGGGGACCGTTACATGTAAAGATATATGGAATTATAGAAAACACATTTTTTTTTACATCTTGCTGCACACTAAGTTTTTAATGAGCATTCTTTAAAAGAACAAGTAAAATACAGTTACTACACTACAAAAAATACAGTACTCACCTGAGTTGATAGGTGGCTTCCTTATGGCTTTTGTAATCTCATCCCTCATCTGTGCTGTTACTCCAGCTGTATGAAAAAAAAAAGTTGGACAACTAATAGCTTAAATGTGCTTGAATTGCAGGTTAAGATAGGTGTCTGCTATGCCATTGATTAATGATTAATGATCATGATTAATGATAATACACAACCCAAAGGTGATTTTCATTACTCTGTACTGTATCACTGGACAGACAACAAATCACACACCTTTCTCTATATTGACAGGATGACCTGCAGAAATGGCTGTGGCCAGATGGTTGAACACTGTACTAGTCTTGAGGGTCCTCTCTCGTGCTATCTGATCCTGAAAAAAATGTATTCTTAATATGTTAGAGAAAGAAGCTAAGCATATAGTACTGGCTACTTCACCAAGGTGACCATTGAATGTTAATAATAATATAAAACATTACGATAAATGGTTCATTATTCGAAACTATCTCACATAAAGCTAATGCTAAAATTGTTAGTCTTGAAGAATTCGAACTACCATTGGGTGCATGCATTTTGATAACATTACATGAAAATGCAATTAAAAGTACAATTCGACAGGTTTTGTATACTTACCAGTCCCAGGTTATCATGGTGGAACATGGAGTAGGAGGTTTGTACTGTCTCAGTCAGACGTTCACAGTTCTTGCTAGTGGCCATGGTCAATAGATCAGCCTGAAATAAAGATTGTATACGTGAATAGTTTTATCAGGTTGGTAAAGTCAACGAAACGTCAGCTGAATAAAAGACTTGGTCTCTTTACTCAACGACTATACACAGTAGGATACCATAGTACAAAGGTTCAATGCAGCAAACTACTATAAATCCAATTAAAATTAATGCACTGTTTTCCTAATAAATGACAGTCATATCTTTACAGTGGTTTAGAAAATCAAACTCAATCAAGTACAAAGAATATATAACTGTGTATGACTTGGCTGCTTATGAATTAATAATCACTATGATCTCACCAGCTTTGTGTACAAAACTGGTTTGTAAAACTATTTGGCATATAACTATCATAAGATATGAAAATAGAAGTTCCTCTAACCTGTGTGTTTTGTGAGGGAAAGTTGTCCATGTTCAGCTCGCTGTGTTGTCCACAGAAGACCTGGATAGCTGGGAGCATCTTTGGTCCGACCCTCTGAGCACATACATCAGATATCCCATCCATGTTCAGTAGACTGGCCATTGACTTTGGTCTGTCAATTAAAAATCCATATCAATTTCTTTCAGTCAAAATTATAAATATTTCAAATTGATACTTTAAAATTAAATCATGCCCCTACTGACTCTACACTGGTCCTGTCCTTAGTGCTGAACTTACATTCACAAGTTGGTTATCCTCCTAGTAAATTTATATTGACCTTTTCCCTGAACTTACATTCACAATGACTGTCCTCCTACTGACTTCACACTGGTCCTGTCCCTGGTGCTGAACTTACATTCACACTGACTATCCTCCTAGTGACTTCACACTGGTCCTGTCCCTGGTGCTGAACTTACATTCAAACTGACTATCCTCCTACTGACTTCACACTGGTCCTGTCCCTGGTGCTGAACTTACATTCACACTGACTATCCTCCTAGTGACTTCACACTGGTCCTGTCCCTGGTGCTGAACTTAAATCTACTAATGTTTTATTTCTCATTTCAAGTTATATTAGAAAATAGGTATTTAGACAATACCTGATCTTGGCCATATCAGCCAATATCTTGTTGCTGGCCACATAGAAGGGAGGTGCATCCATATCGTGGGCTATCTCATTCCTCACTTGCATCAGCTTTCCATAGAGCTCACCCTGTGAAATTGTATGGAAGAAAAATGCCACTTAGGTCTATATATTTTTACCGCGTTTTAAGTCAGCATTTGAAGAATCTCAGTCCCAGTGTCTTGATTTTTGCAGTGGAGAGTAACGAAAATAAAACCAGGGCTTAAAATCCATTTTTGGTGCACCCAACCTATAGAAAACATGGGTACACAAAAAAAATTTTCAGTGCACCATATAAGAGAAAGTAAGAAGAATATCAGCAAAAACTTTTGTTTCGTTTTCAAAGAAAAGTGTCATGATTTTGACAATGATGACATGATTTTACGATATTTTTCTGACTCTTGGATGTTAAGAATATGCATTTGACATCTTATCTACGAAAATGTTTGGGTAAACTGGTGCAACTACAGAAAAAAAATTAGGTGCACAGCTCCAAATTTGGCTGCAGTAAGGTGCACATGCACTCTGTATTTCAAGCCCTGTAAAACCATAGCAAATATTTTAACACAGACAGTATCTCCATCGATGTGAAGAAAACAAAGAGACCTGTAGCTTCTCTTCTTGAGGAGACCGTGTCTTCTGTGCAGGAGGAGTGCCTGAGATGTTGACCCAGCCTGGCACAGAGCTGGCCACCCAGGAGCTGGTCTGAACTGTGGGCAGGATTCGCCGCACTGACACAGTACTGGGAAGGACAGAGCAGTCATATCTCAATGAATGTAATTCATTTTTAACATATTAAGCTACATCCACAGTAACTAAAAAAAATTCAATATCTTTATAATTGAGAAGGAAACTGCTTGATGAGGGTGATCAATAGTCGACCTGATGATATTTTAAGGAAAAAAAACCTGTTGTTGTTGATGTTATCTGTGCATGTATCTTGAAAATTAAGCAAGTTGACTAAAGGTATCCAAATGATAATCTAAATATATTGGTCTGACTTAAGTACCTTGCAGAAGATGGAGTTGAGGGGGCTCTTGCTGTGCTGTATGGTTTTGCTGAAGTGTATGGTAAAGACCTACTCTCCTTTTCAAATGACAACAGCTCCTGTTCCAAAAAAATGTCAAATATGGAATTAAACAAACAACTGTTCAGAAAACAATCTCTTGATATTGATTCACATACACGAGGATGGATCTTCTTAATGAATTTGTTGTGGTATTTAAATTTATGAGTCAGTGTATGTGTGAAACTCTACCTTGTTGGGTGCGATCTTGAATTCGACTGCCTTGCCGTCAGACATGAGAGCTTTGTTCAGCCAGTTGCGTCCTTTGGTTGACAACACTGTCAGCATGACAGAGAACTTCTGATTCCCAAACCCCCCACCCCTCCCTCCTGCCTTGTTTTCAGTCAACATGTCTTCCTGCTTCAACACTCGAGCTGCAAAAACAAATTATATTTATTATAAAATCAGTTTGTATACATCAAAACTGTACAACACTTCAGTGACTGTATTCCCCAGTGAAGAAAAAACTGACTCAATTTAATAGCAATAAATTAAGTAAACATTTTAACAGTTTTATTGTCCAGTATACATGTAAATGCAATGTTGTGAAACACTGCTGCAAAGATGCTGTCAATACAAATCTTGGTATCATTTAGTTAAAGATACTACAGTCTACAGTTAATTTACTTGACTTACCAAATGCTTTCCACCATTTTTCTGAACGATGCCTAAGAAAATACAAACAAGTGTAAATATATTAATTCATCATATGATTATATAATAATTATTATATATATTTTGTTTAGCAAAAGCATTTTATGATCAACACCCTCACTTATAAATTGTAAACGATTATGAACAATAAAAATACATCATTCTAATAATTTGATTGTCATATCTTTCTGGGAAAATTCATATAAAATCATTACCTGCCACTTCCATATGCCTTCAGTTTGTAGCACCTGTCTGGCAGCTTCTGATTGGTCTGCAAGAAAAAATAATATTTAAATTTGCCAAGTGACCAAATGAAAGATAATTTCCATATCAAAATTTTGATTTTCAAGAGTCTGCCTCACTTTTTTGGTTTTGAGCTATAATTTTGAAATAGGCCACAGATATTAAAGGCAAATGTGCTACAATGTGTAGTACTGTAGATGAAATATATACTTACAGAGCCTACAAGAAGCATAACTGGAACTCCAATGCCGAAACTTTCTCCTGTCACCTAACATAAAAAAAAAAAAATATCGGACAACTTTAACATGTATTTTTCATTTCATTTGTAACCAGGACATTAGCCAGCAAACAGATGTCCAAACCCAAGTTCCAACAATTTGTTTATGTTTCCTTACCTTGACAGCATTGAGCATTAACTGTGCCTCCTTACTATAGTCCACCTGACTGTCCTGGTTCATCTGAGCAGCGGTCAGTACACGAGTGGACAGTCCAGCTCTATTGGCTGCCCTTAACCTGTCAAATCAAAGAGTTAAGTTAAAGAAATCTCATGTTATAAGATATAAAATGTTAGGATCATGAAACTTACAATAAAATGTGACACAGTGACTGTATATCAAACGGTTATGTAAAAACAAATTAATCTTCATATAGGAACAGGACTATAAAAAATAAGTGAAGATGATGATGAACAGTAATACTATGACATACTTCTCAGCACAGTTGTCACAGCACTGGGCTGTCCCACTCACACTGCTCTTGCAGTTCTTGTCAAAATGGGACAGGATCATTCTGAGGAAAAGTTCAAATTACATAATACAATGTCACAGGTAACATTAATTTACATAAAACATCTTTTACTTTTTAGGCACTGTAAAAGAATTTTTTTCAAAATGTACCAGATTGAATATACATTGCCTGTAATCATACCCAGTATTCTTTTGTTGTAAAACCTTTAATAATAAACAACTTGTGGTCAACCTCCTCATCTTCTAAATCAATGTACATGTAAGTAGTTATTAGACTGTAAACTCTCAAACAACTTTCAGGGTCCCCAAGACTGCCAAATTATGGAAACAGTGTAACTGTGTTACCAAGGTACCAAGCAGCATTATCTCAATGTTAACTGCAGAGAGCAACCATTCTTATTGACTACAGTGTGGTAGACAGAAGCCTGTCATGTGTAAGATTCCCCCACCTTCTCCTGCACTTTGTAGTGGCCAGGTATTTCTCCATCTTACTGATCATCTGGGCCTTGTGTTGGCGGAATCTGTCATTCTGGATGTCATTCAGGAAATACCTGTGTCAAAAAATGTGTGAATAGTTCTTCAGTCTGTAAATTAATACATGTAAATCTTCTTATCCTCTCAGATAACACCTTTAAATGTCTACAGACTTAATATATGGTATTATCATGCTGATAAATAAAATTAGTTTAATTTTGAGCTACAATCCATTGAAATGCCAATCGGGACACGAACAGGGCAGTCAGTACCTGCCTGTTTCAATGATGTAAAAATGAGTCAGTGGCTGACCTGTTGGTGAGGAAGTCCTTGGGCGTGTAGAAGACATGACAGGAACTGTTCATCCCATCTCTCCCCGCCCTCCCGATCTCCTGGTAGTATGACTCAATGTCCTTTGGTGCTCCGTAGTGGATGATCCTTCTCACATCATGTTTGTCAATCCCCATCCCAAATGCCACGGTGGCCACGATACACTGTAAAAGGGTTAAGGGAATGCTATTGTTACAGGACTCGAAATACTGGGTGCATGTGCACCTTGGTGCACCTAAATTTGGAGCTGAGCACCCATTTTTTCTCTGGGTGCAGCTGTACACCCAAGTGTACGTATAGATGTTAAATGTATATATAGTTACTGTAGTATACAACATATTCTTAACATCAAGTGTCAGAAAAATAACGAAATCATTGTTGTAGTATGTTTCTTTAGAATTGAAACATAATTAGTTTTTGCTGAGATTCTACATATTTTTATCATATATGATTCACCTTGAACATTTTTGTGCACCCTATTTTTTTAGGTTGGGTGCACCAGATGAGTGTACCTATTCTCAAAAATGAAATTTGAGCCCTGGTTTATGTATCTTTAGGGATTGAGAAAGTTATCAGTTGGTGGGTGGGGAAGATTGACAGGCAGAATGACAGGTACATAGGGCAGACAATTGGTGAACATCAAGGTCTCAATAACTCTGGGAGCCAGCAGGAATTAGTGATAACTTACCTGTAGTTCATCTCTGATGAACCTATGGTGGACGTCCTTTCTCTTCTCATTGGTGAGGCCAGCATGGTAGATCTCACATTTCACACCCATAGCTACATGTACATGTACACAACAATACCATCAACCATTTCAGTATTATTCCTACACAAGCTCAAGTGTCTACATACATTGTATTTATGATTAGATTAACGTGCAATGTCTATTGTAAGAAGAGAGTGTTTTCATTTGTTGGAAAACAGACAAAAGTTATGATTCAGACGTTAAACATAATTATGAAATTCAAAGTAATTGAATTACATTACAAATGCAGATGTTCTTTTTTTTTAATCCCGAGTATAGTAATCTTCTTATACTGTATTTAAGTATCCTACCCTTCAGAGACTGCCCAACATTTTCTGTTTCCTTTCTAGTTGGGCAGTACACGATAGTTGGTCCATCAAACTCATAGTAAAACCTGTAGGGTCAAACAACAGCAATACATACTATAGATGTTGACTGTTACACTGACAAGTTATGCAACGCACTGTATAATGGCAGATAGAAGTTCATTCGCAAATGATTATAATTTTAGTATAATTACATTAATCGTATTTACAGTCACAGTGGTACTAGTACATGAGTGCATGTTTTCAGGTAAGATGTACAATGTATCATCACAAAAAATGTTCAAGTTGAAGTTACCTCCTTGTTTCTCTCATCAGGCTCTTCAGGTCATGCTGTGTGTTAGTCTTGCTCAGCACCTCAAGAAATAGATTCTGCCTGTGGAAGAAAGTGTTTTCATTTGATGTAAAACTAATAGAAGTTATGATTCAGACATTAACATTATTATGAAATTATGACTAACAACTGAAATATGATTAATCTCTATGACATAAAAGAGGTCTCCAATAGTCTTACCTGTCAAAGCTTGTCATGGTGATCTGAGGGTCTCTCAGTCCGAGTGATTGACAGATGTCATTCTTCACCTCAGGTGTGGCAGTGGCCGTCACTGCCATGATAGGCACCTGTCATGTAGAAAAAGTACAAAGTATACTACATGACGAAGAGAATCGTGCTGGGCGCCATCCTGCTGGCGTCGAAAGTCTGGGACGACCAATGTATATTATGTATCTTGCACCATACACGGAAAGTCATGAGAAGATTCCGAGTAAGCTTGACACAGTAAGTGAGTGAGGGAGTATACGATTGCAGTGTGATAAAGTTATTCTTCTTCTATGTTTAATTTGCGTTGGTTCCTTCACTTAATTGTGGTATGATTTACCCCGCCTTGTGAATTTTCCCAAAAACAATGTCAATTGACCAGTCCTGAAAACAAAAAAAATAAACCAACCATACAAAGAAAGTTCTTACTTTAGGTAGCATGTCCCTGATCCTCCCCAGTGTCCTGTAAGATGACCTGAAGTCATGTCCCCACTGGGAAACACAGTGGGCTTCATCTATGGCAATCAGGGTGATACCTGCAAGGAACAAAATTATGTTACATGTGCTCAATTTACAGAAAAAAACCCCCAAAGCTGCAGTATCTGTAATCTTGCAAACTAGAAAAATGCAGGTAGGTACATCTTGGTGATAACATTTTATTCAGCTTTAGTATCGTTCAGAAGTCTAGCCAATTCAAAATCTTATTCTTGATAATGATCAAAACTCTACTTCATTAGAGCTATGACCTACATGTATATACATTTTGTACCCTAAGAAATTTTCGTACCAATTTTCCTGTCCAGGTCCTTGAGAACACTCTCCCCCGCCCCTACAGCAGCATACTCAGGAGTGATGTACACAACACGGTATTCTCCTCTACACAGCCACAGAGAAACATTCAGTAAACATGCAAGCAGTTATTTGAGTACTGGAATACTACATTTGTAATGCATGTTTAAGACTGCTTTATCATGCCACATGTAAGTACACTTTAAAACAAAAGGAATGCCCATCATTACAGTTGTCAAGGAAACAGTAAGTTAGAAATCACAAGAATTACACAAGTCATGTATTTAAGAAAATCTGCTTCCAATTCAGTGACAATATACTGTCAGTTATTTACCTCATCAGACTCCTCATGACATCTGCTGTGTCCTTTTGTGCAGACCCCAGGAAACATGCAGGGATGTTAGCCACTCTGGTAAACAACACAACACAACCCAGTCAACTAGCTTCCTTGTCATACCTCTATAAAAGTCTGATGGCAAATACTAACTGCTAAGAAAGTGGATTCAATTAATATGTAACAAATGAATTTAGTTTTGACCTTATTCTTGAAAAATATTTTAAATATTCCAAAGTCTTACAGTTCTTTTCCCACAATGATATTTAATGTACAAATCATGACCTAGGCCTTTAAGGCTTGAATGAATTGTATAATATTATACAATTTATATTAAGGTCTTTCATCTTTCTGATGATAAGATTTTAATTAGTACGTGGGTACTAAGCTTATTGTAACCACAAGAAATACTAGATGGATAAATAGACCCAGTTTCATCAAGTTCGTAACATACTTAAGCCCAAGGACTTGATCCTCCATGAGAGAGATAAGGGGAGAGATGACCACAGTGGTGCCTCCAGTGTACACAGATGGGAACTGGTAACACAGGCTCTTTCCATAACCTGGGTGATAGAGGGAGGAATGATCAGCGACAAGTTACAAATTCATCCAGAGTACATCGTACATGTAAAAGTACTAGTATGTTGTCCATTTTGAATAAAAGAAGATTCTATAATCTCAAATTAGATTTCCTTTTCAATAAAAAAAAGATTGGTACTTATCATATTAAAACTTTTATTTACCTGTTGCCATGATGCAGCAATTGTCTCTTCTTTCCTCCAGTATAGAACGGACAATTTTCCACTGCATTCTGAAACAAACATAAATCATAAAAATAGTTAAACTAAAAACAGGAATATTCCACAACTTATCAAAATCATTAAATAAAACTGTCAAATCATAATAAATATCATTCTTTTCTAAATGGGCTACTATAAATAACTTAAAAGAGGTAATTCTACTTACGGTCTGAAGTGAGCATGGCCAAAGTATTTCTTCAGTGCATCAATTGTGTCTTTGTCTGGTGGTGGGATGGAAGGATCTGCAAAAAAAATTACAGTGACAGTGTACATGTTAGCGTATCCACTTCTGTCAGCTGAAGACACTGACAAAATATTTATGATAAAATTTAAGTAAAATCTACCCCAGTGTGGGGTGGGGGGGGGGACATAAAATTTAGCCTAGCTACTGTGACTGCCCCATGGCCAAGTGCCACCATCGATATCTGAGCCTAGGCCTTCCAGGCATCTGATGTCACGTGATTATAATCCTAGTTTTGGAGATTTTTGCTACACATCCTCAGTTCTGAAGTGGTTGTTGACTTCCACTTTACAAACAATGCTAACCTACTTCTTGAAGAGTCGTTGACCCCTATGCGAGATGCATGTAGGGAACCAGGATGTATATGTAGAGATTGTTCAGTGTGGGGAAATACGTGGCAAAGGTTTCCTTCCACATCGGGCGGTCAGGAGCAACTCCAGCCACACAGCTGACCAGGACTGACCACTAGAGATGGACATTTGGTTGTCCCTGACATGGCTGTTCCACATACTGGTAATCCTCCCCGTTTCTGCCTTAGATGATGACAACCCTGATGTAAACAATGGAGATGTAAACAACCCTGACGTGATAAACAACCCTGAGGTATCCAGCCCCACAGTGACGCAGCATGACCCTGCAGTCTGTAGGGAGCAGTATGCTCCCTACAGACTGTATGCTCCTCTGCAGCACCTGCGATAAGTTGCAGCTGTTTGGTCTCTCACTGCTGTACCAGGACTGCAGACTGTGTTGCCAGGAGGAGGAAGAGATGGTCTCCCCTGGCGGTTTCCGGGCAGTACTGCAGCTGTGTTTCCAGTGAAAGCTGAAACACCTCCCGGAGCTGAGAGCTTTTCTTCGCGGCCCGGCTGCGGACATGCCCGGGCTCGAAATCCGAGACGTTCGCGGCGCCGATGCAACAATATTCTTACTGGACGCCAGCGGGAACATGTTCCGGGAGTATCCCATCAGCCACTGGACCACAGAGGACATTGAAACCTTCATGTGGGACGTTCTAGCCTAGACTTTTAATGCCCATCGAAAATCTGAATGAAACAAGTTAACTAGTCAGCTACAGCTACATAATACTATATAGAAAGCCAAGTTATAACCTTCTGTAGTAGATTTCTGTGAGGATGTAATTGAATGATAAGACCAGGATAGCCATTAGAAATAGTTGTGAGTCTGTCTGTCTGTACGTGTATTTTCTTGCCTGACCCATGGATGATGACAGTCCAGAAAACCTGGTCACAGGGCTGCTCTGTCTGATGGTACTGGGACTAGATATACCAACAAAGTTGAGTTTGTATGCATGAAACAGACATGTTTAAACAGTACAAAGTGTCCTTCGTACAGAATCATGATGATAATCATTATGATGCCTTCATCATAAAATAAATGTTATATGTATACTGTAGATATTGCTGGGAAATTTGTTGAATTTTTCTCTTACCATTCTCCTCTTCCTCCTCCTCTTCCTCTACATCAGTTTCATCCCCATCATCAACATTGATGACACCGTCCCCGCCATCAGTACACATGGCATCTATCTCCTGTTACATGACCAGGAAGATAATTAGTTTACCTTTTCATATTAGCCAATGATGAATGAAACTGGTAATGATGAAGTAACCCCAAAATGTGATCATAGATTTGACAATAAAAAATATTCAGACTGAATACTATATTGTTACAGTATAGTTTAGTTCATTAGGAAGCAAACCTCCAAGGCCTGGGTGTCAAAATCATCCCCGAAGTCATCACCAAAGTCATCATCCAGTTCTGTAAATGAAGTTGTGATGGCCTCTGCTTCAGCTTTCTCTGCTGATGTCAGCATTAACTGTAAGAATATTACATATTAGGTAGTCATACTAGTCATACTCAACTGATGTGGAGCAAGATAACTTTTTCAAGTAGCTAAGAGTGCAATGTGGCTTTGCTTAATGGCTCAGTGACACATTTTCAGTCAAGCACACAGTGTGTTGGGCTCTTTTATATGCAAAGTTATGATGCCTGTCAGAGGCCACCGTCTATAGCTGCATGCAAGGTATGTAGTCTCCATCAGAAAAGACGAATGCAAATTCCTCCCAATTCCATGAGGGAACTTAACTCTCACTCAATCTGACCCACGTACATTTATTTAGTACATGTATGTACCATACTAACTAATATACCCTTCACACATTACATTCCCTCATTTGTAAATTTAATATTCAGTACTGCAACAATATATCCATGATACTGAGTGACACATAGCCTGGGTGCCAGACCCATAGCACACTGGACACAAAGTATCTCAGTGCTCACTGAGATACTTTATGTCCAGTGATGCGTGTGTTCTATGGGTCTGGCACCCAGGCTAAGCGACACATAAAGAAGACTAGTACCTCATCCCCTTCATTTTGTAGCCGTTCTAGGAACAGATCTTGATCCTGAAAGGAGAAACAAGCCCGAGTCAAACATATATGAAAGATTGATAAATCAAATTCCTAATTGTTACTCATAAATTAGGCCTTAGGAAAAAATGCTGTCTTTTCTGTTTTGGTCTTGCAAAAATTAGGGTAGGTAGGGGTTATCTTTTTTTCCTTTTTTTCTTAATTAGACAAATTGGCAATCTCTATGTTGTATTGATTGTTTCAAACCTAGCAAATTAAATTCACAATAAACCAATTACCACCTGGGTTGAATGAGGAAAAGGACACCACTAAATAGCCAGGAACAGCAGGAATTGAACCCATAATCATAGTTCTCAGACCTGTGTCTGCTAGTGTATACATGGTAGTCACAGCTGTCTGAAGCACCAAAACATTCACCTCTAAGTCGTCTTCATCCATGGTCATGTGAAGAGCATGTTTAGGGCGGCTTTCTACGTTAACTACCGACGACTTTGCCGCAATCTTCTTGCTGCCTCTTCCCGTAACATCACCATTGGTCGATCCACCCTCTGACAACAGTCTGTGCACCTCAGCTAGAGCAGTCGTAGCCTCGTCTAACAGTCTCTCACAAGTCGTGTCTTTTCCTTTCGGTATGGTGGCCCCGCTAGATAGCAGCTTCTGAATAGCAATTGTCTGTTTTTGTACATGTTGAAGTTTGTCCATGTTGTGTTGATGGTCACACTTCTGTAGGGAGTAAAATATCCTGTGGAATAAAGTGGAGTTTATGTTAGAGTTATCTTTGTTTGTTTGTGTGTTGTTCATGTTTGATCTCTTATTCTCAATATATAATATCCTGTAGGCTGTGGCAGGTTAAGAAGCTAGGTTAACACACAAACAAACAGTTATCTTCAATTTTATAAAAAAAAAACTATTTTGTTATTGTAACTAATGTAACAAGTTAAGGTACTGCATATTTGCATAATAATAATAAAAAAGTGTACTTCTTGACTTGCTTTTAGCAGAAAAACAATTGACATGGCAGAAAACTTACAAACTGGCAAGCAACCAACTTTTTACTTTTTCGCATATTTACTCAACCTTAGTAACGTTTAATCATGTGATATTCATAAACCTAAAAGAAATAGCCACACATGGTTTCATAATATCCCCTCCCCTCCCCCAAACTGACAATTTGTTACTTCCTGGCGAGCTGTCTGCTTGAATATATCAGCAGACATCTGCTATAAATGAACGATAGCACAAACCTCAACTCATCAATACTATTTCCGCAGTCATTGAACTCTGAGAGCGATATTTATATTGTTTTCCAGGAAAATGTTACGAAGATATTTCCCGCCAGTAGCCTCAACCTGGGCCTCGACTGGAAATACGAGCTGTCTAAGGTTTTTAATGTTCAGTGCCTTTGAATTCTGATTCAATAACTTTTGTTTTATCTGACAAATATAAAATCCGGTACATACTTGTCGATTTATCGGTAATAGAAAATCAGAGTTTGTGATAATTGTGCGTGATTATCAGATTATGATTTTAGTAAATTAACCAGGTATAAGAAATATTACGGTGGGCAGCTAAAATGTAGTCTCTATATCAGACTTTTTGGTGGGTACTTACATTGTAAGTACTAAATTTTGACCGTATATCAAGTTTTGTTATTTTGTTTACTTTTATTAAAGGTATTTAAGCTGATATGAATCGTAACATTTAATTTTAAGAAATCTGAAGAAAGGAACACAGTTAGCCTATAAGGCAGTACTGCACCACCGTAATGAAGTCTGATACCGAGACTACAGACCAAAGCTTTACACTGCAGACATCAACACAGGCAACAACATGGCTGGTGCAGAGGGCTGGACGTCAGCTCAACTCCGGCAGTATTCCTTCCCGTTAGAGACCATTCCTCGTCTCTCCTGCACGGACCCTGAAGCCGACAGACTCATCAGCGAAGAGGTATGGCGTTAGCGCAACTTCTAGAAGCAATTTTGTGCTGAAATATTCAATCGTCTAGGCCGGTTGTTTCAGTTACAGAAACCGGAAGTAAAATGCAATTGTACTTTACAACGTAGTTATATGTTTGTTGACGTTTTGTGTATCTAGTGTAACGTGTAAGGTAATGTTATCTCTTGGTGTCATGACTCCTGCATGTTTATTTCTATTTGTGTACTGCGGCACGCATAGTCTTCCTCCCGGTTTGTCAATTTGCCAGGCTGTTTTTGCTGTACTTCAAAACGTACATTTAACGTTAACATAATTTTAACGTTCTAAACATCGTGAGATCTACCCCCTTATTTCATGTCTAGGGACATTAGGTTATGAAAGAAAACTTCTAAGAAATTGCTAGACACAGAATCCTACTTGAAGCCTTCTAAAGACGCCGTAGCTAGTAGCTTTCCCCTTTTAATAGAAATTCCCAAAGGCTACACCCCCACTCGTGTTAATGTTTTGTCCCATGAAGTGTGCCAAGGCAAGCGAGGTTACGTCCACAATGTCACGTACACCATACAGACAAGAACCTACCTATAAGAGACACAAAAATCATCGGTTTATGATATAAACAACACTAATTTTGTAAAACACTGCTTAAAGGTTTGATCAAGTAGGTCAGGGTATGCACAAGACGACTACAGTATTATACTACTGGTCATTAGATTTTGTTTAGGAACTGTTTAGAGTAGTCTTAAGGTTTTAGCCTAAGTAGTTTTATTTTTGAACAGGTAGGATAATTATACAGGTAGACATTATCTCTCCATCATTAAGGGACCTGGTTATGACACTTAATGCATTGTCAACATAAATCGTAAGTAAGTAAATTTTAGTTCAATCTCACAAATAATAGATGCATTCGTTGTTTGTTTTAATTTATTTGTTTTAAACAATTTTTGGTCTCTACCTTTACTGACAAGTTACAGTAACTTTTATTACTAAATAATTTTTCAAGGGTGGATTTCTGGTTATGCGTTATTTTTTTTTAAATTCCTACTTCAATAGGTGACATTTTATATCTGCAATGGTGATTATACATTTGTACTTCAACAGTCCTCAGGTGGCTTAAGTGGCGCACGTAGGCACCGTCTCTCCTTATGAATAAAGAGCCTGGTTAATATTTATCAGACATTTATTGGTTCAGTGTCTGCAACCGTTACAAACTTGTTGTAATACTTATAATCTGCCACGTATGTATTTTCTAAATTTTATCCCAATCCAATAAAGGAAAAGACTATTGTTTTTGTTATTTTTACATTAATACGGTATTATACTTTTTTTAAATGACACTCATAATTTCTTACTTCAATGTGCACAACTGGTACAGTGTTGTTGTCTGTCAGTTTGGATTTTAGTCTGTCATGGTTGATGCAACAAAGGAAAAGCACAGCGGTCTTAAAATGATTTTTGGCAATGAACTGCACTATATTTGTAGTCAAGGTCATTGCTATATGCCTGTCTGCAATCGTCATTATAATTTTTTGCAGGTACACGTAGCACGTAGGCAACGTCTCTCCACATGCAGCCATAGTTTAAATATTTATGAGACATTTTTGCTGTCTGCCCAGGAGTTTTGAATAAATTTGGAAATCTTCATTCTGTTCTCTTACAGGTTAACTATATAATAAATATTTCTGGAAATTTATTTTTTGTATTCCATTGTATTCCATCAATACACTCAGTCACTGCTGTCTGAATGGTTTCGTATGTTTCTCAAAAAGTTTAACAGACACATTAACACTGTAATATACTAATCAGGGGTCGAAATAGTGGGTGCATGATTAATATTGCACCTTTGTGCGCCTAAACTTGGAGCTGTGTACCTAATGCTTGACTAAAATTTTTTGTAAGTACCTACGGTAAATTAGTACAATACAAGTACTACCAACAATGGTGTGTCATTATTACTTTTAAATTTTGAAGTTTGAGTTTAGGTACACAAGAGGAGCAATATTCAGGTTTCCTTTGTTAATATCTTACTTTAGTTTATGTTGGGAACCAAAATTATATTATTTAGTGCACCATTTTTTTTTGGTTAGGTGCAGGAGTGCACCTGATTAGAAAAATGTATTGCTGATACTTATAACTTTTTTTAATTGATTGTCGTTGTCTTTTTCAGAAACCCGTGGTACTGACTGACACCCACCTTGTAGACAGTGCTCTGAAATGGGACCTAGACTATCTCCAGGCTAATTTGGGAGCTGGTTTGTGCTCGGTTTACGAGTCAGACAATCACAAATTTATGTACTTTGACGAGAAGAAGGCAAAGGAGAGAAAATACTACACCCCGTGTACCAGGAGAATGGAAATCCCATTTGAACAGTTTGTCAGACAGTTGGAAAGCTCTGAAGAAACAGGAGGAAAAAGGTAATACTAGAAAGGAACTTATTTTTATTGTGTTGCACATTTTCGTGGTACAAACATAATATGGTGTAAACATGATCATGATTGTGACATTTGTTTCTTGAAATGGCACTTGCAACTGTGGGTAGTCATGTGTCTCCATGACATTCAAAGATGATCTAGGCCAGCACCAATTGGTTTTCTTGGTTCTTGATATTCAAGAGTAAGAATTGAATTGCAAAAGGTCAAAATATAAAAGTACAATGTAGCAGACTGTCAAATCTGTACAACTTAATGCAACTACATGGGAATTACCTATTGGACAATGTAATCACTGGTGGTGTTTTAGATGTTTTTTCCTGACACAAGCATTAAAAATCATGCCTATATATCCCAGGGTATATCTGCAGCAGACTCTGAATGATACAGTTGGGAAGAATATCGTGGTGGATTTCCTCCAGTTTAACTGGGACTGGATCAACAAACAGCAACAGAAACAGAACTGGGGACTGCTCACATCCAACCTCTTACTGATTGGCATGGCAGGTAGGCACGGACAACCAATCCAGAGTCTTTTTACATGCTGTTAGCTTGTTTAGAGATTTTAATTATTTTAATTACTGGCTATAGTAGTAGCTATAGTGCTACTTCTTGCAATCACTCAAACATTCATCTCAACAAAGACCACAGCAATTAAGTATTAATTTTATGGATGTGGTAGCATAGTATCACCAGTGGTAGCAATTCAGTATCAATATAGTGGGAGCATAGTACTGTATCACAACTATGGAATTTGTAATGTTCAAACAGATATTGGAAAAAAGCATTAAAAAGCTGTTGTCATTTTTATTATCGATACAATGTATATTATATTTTTGCAGGTAATGTCACACCAGTGCACTATGATGAACAACAGAACTTCTTTGCACAAGTGAAGGGATACAAGCGATGCATCCTGTTTGCACCTGAACAGATTGAATGCTTGTATCCCTACCCAGTACACCACCCATGTGACAGACAAAGCCAGGTATGCATTGTACATTGTATTTCATTTGTTCATTGGATTTCATTCATTCAGCAACAGCATGCAAGCATCATATACTATGACTGTCCATCAATGATTGTGTTGTTTGTTTAAAGTTAGAACTTTAGATGCAACACAAAGAAGTTTTCTCACCTAGAGCTTTCGACCAGTCATTCTGGTCTTCCTTATAGTAGACTGACTCAGTGAGGTTTCACATGATTTCTTTGAAGTATGACATCAACAAGGGGGCCGACATTGTCTGCCAGATACCTTTGACCCAGTGTTGACGTCACACTTCAAAGAAGCCATGTGACAAGCCTCACTGGGTCAGTCTACTGAGGCAGACCAGAGTGACTGGTCAAAAGCTCTAGGTGAGAGAACTTCTTTTTGTCAGATGACTCAGATCTAAAGTTTTAACTTTTAACACGTAACTACCAACACAGATGAACTTTCATGATAGATTGTGTTGTTTGTTATCTAGGTTGACTTTGACAAACCAGACTACAGCAGATTTCCTAAGTTCAGGTATGCGTCAGGTGTGGAAGCCGTGGTAGGACCAGGAGATGTCCTGTACATTCCCATGTACTGGTAAGAAACAGGCCCAGTGTAACTTGCCAAAACATACCCTTCTAAGAATGTGACCACTTGGTATTTTCTATTCATGGGGTACAATCTGGCTTGTTACACTAACTCATTATCAACTTTCAATGTTAGGCCAAAACAGTTTCTTGGTTTTTGAATTAATATACAGCTTATTTTTTTTTTTTAATTTAAAAAGAAAAAAAGTAAGTTAAGGTGTTTTTTTTTCTTTTATAAGGTGGCACCACATTGAGTCCTTGCTAGAAGGAGGGCATACCACATCTGTCAATTTCTGGTACAAGGTGAGAAACAGCCACAGTGATTTTATTGTTAGGCCACACAATTTTGATTTACCAACTTACAACATTGCTGTGTATATTGTTGCATTTCTGATAGATTTAGTATTCGATTCGGTATTGGATAACTGTAAAGTAATATTTCAGTACTTTACATTATAGGTTTCCTGTCATCATATTGTCTGAACTTTTACCATGATTGTTGTTCTTATACTTGCTATGAGAGTTGATACACTACTGTTGATAAATTTCTGCATCCTCATTAGGCCTGTATTTTTAACCCTTGTCCTACCAGGCTGGTCCCACACCCAGAAACATTGTGTACCCCCTGAAACCTGTGCAGAAGATGGCCATCATGAGAAACATTGAGAAAATGCTGGTTGAAGCACTAGGAGATTACAGAGAAGTAAAATCACCTTGTTCCTTACAATTTGGTGTTTTTCTTTTTATGACAGTAAATGATATCTGCAAAACAGATCCGAAGATCTGAGATGCACTCTGATTAGATACACTCTAAGAAGTTACTTGCAGTGAATTTTTGATTTTGGGTAATATAACGTCCTTGGTTAGAGTAATCTCCAATATTTCTGATTTTATTTTTCAGGTTGGACCTTTAATAAACACCATGATCCAAGGTCGCTACACTCTAATGGACACCTCAGAGGTCAATGGTAATAAGGTCATGTACACTGACTGAACTGTGAATGTAGAGAGAAACTGTGTACAAATTACGCTGCTAAGCAATAATCTACGTTGTACAAAATGTTTATGCCCATGGTCTGGTGGGGTAAAATATTGTTTTACATTTTTAAACCTGTCCTGTTTTACCAATATTGTTTTTTTTTTAATTCAGAATGGCAGTATCTTTGCATTAATATAATTGAAAAACTTAATTTTAGACAGAAACTGCAAGTCAGCAATTGCATTTTTTTCTTTGCTTGAAATAATGCAATTGATTTTCGTAAAAGTTTTTAGTTCAACCCAGTTAATCAAAAAGAAGATCAATAAAGCCAAACCACACTTTTCTTCCTTTTATATTGCTGCAAGAATATAAAAAGTGAAATTTGTGAATGGTTAAACCTATTTCTGTTTGTGTTATTGCTGATAATAAGTTTTAGTATATTGTTTTGTAGACCTCAGGTTTTTTATTTTTATGTCAATTTTGTTTGCCTTGTAAAGGCTTCATTTTAACCCACCTTTACCCATGGAACTGGCTACATTGCATCTTTAGTGCTGTTGCTACACATTGGATTATATCCTTTTATGTGTACTAAGTAGAAAACTGTGGAAAAATATTAGCAATCAGCAATATAACTGTAAGTTAGCCGCAGTGACTGTTGCAGTTAGGGTGACTGTTACGTTAGGGCTAATGTAAAAGACTGCAAGCAAGAGAAGCCCTGCAACAGTCGCCGCGGCTAACTGTAAGTCAGAGTTACATCTGATTTATGTACTTACAGTGCATGATCAACAGATATGTTCTTGTAAAAATAAACCCTCTCAGAGGGAAAGAGAAAGAGTTAATTCCATTTATGCAGGCTTTTTGCCTATTTTTTACAGCTTTTGTATTTTGTACCAAGCATTCAATTTAGATATGCTCAAAGCAGGATAGTATTAAGCTCCTTAGTGTTAATAGCCATGTTTAAAGTCACCAGCTGACTTTGGTGTGTTGTACTTTTAAAACATACCACTTTAGTTTGCTGTTTGAAAGTTCATATTTTAAGGAACCGTGAAATTATTTTTGAGCCATTATGCAAAAAGAGATTTAAATTTGATTGCCTTATTAATGTAGTCATTCGCCTCTGCAATGAACAGTGATGTAACATTTGATGGAGTTAGTATTCAGACAGAAAAACACCCCCCCCCCTGAAAACTAGTACTTTGATGTACATGACTTGTACGATGTATACTACTAGACTGTGTTTGAAAGAAAACAACAGACGAAGCAAATTGAACAGCCTAGCATGATATCACACTTCCAACATATCAATGCTGCTTTTTTTAAATCTATTAAAATTCTGAAGCAGAATTTATTTCCTGCAAAACTTTACAGAGCCTTATTACCATACACTAAGTACCTTCTTTCAATGTAAGAATTTACATTCAGCAGGTCAATAAGGTATAATAATCATTATGCTTGTATCCGTCTGTACAATATGAAGTTTCCAAAATTATACTTTTTCATTGTCCACAGCCTATAGAGCATCTTGTTCCTTGAAATAGTCAAGTTCAGCAGGTACAGCAAATATTACTTTGAAATTATTACAGTGAAACTGTAACAGTAATTATACATTATCGAAGGTATTGTAAGATGTAAAAGATGTGAAAATGATTTAAAAGTCATTCTGGCATCATCGATTACAAAAATTCAGCTTTATGAAACAAAATGTGTGACTGTATTAAATATTAAGAGTCCTTTCAATTAATAAGTGTATATCACATTATTAAGCAATAAATTTTTACCTCAATATTTAATATACTTATCAATGGGTATCCATGCATACATGTACATGTGAAGTGAATATTAAGTAATTTTTTTTTCAAATCTACAATGTGAAATTGTGGTTTTTGGTGTGAAAACAGAAAAAATATTCATTGTTAATTTTTCAAGGGATATTGTTAATATTGATTACTGTTTACATCTCCAAACTGCACTGCAAAAACATTTATATGTTGTAGACAAAAATATACAGAAAAATGTTGGTCGATTTTAAATGAAAATGTTATACCATTGATGAAGGTACATTAAAGTATTGTTGCAAAACAGAAGTCAAACACCTGGATGATATGACAGGTTGGAGACTTTCGTACATGTGATACTAGTTCTGCCAGTTTCAGATCAATGACAATTGCCATAAGGCCACACCGATTTAATTTTATGGATGACATCTGCTCTCTCCTTGATTTTCACTTCAGTGAGTGTTCTCCAAAAAAAATCACCTCCAAGACACTGACCTGGGTGCCATCCTCCGTAGGAAGCCGGCAGTAACTACGGAGGATGGCACCCAGGCTGCTGAGTTCCACGGAACTCAGTACATTAAAAAAGGTTGAATGCTGCAAAAGGCCAGCATGAGCTGGCTTGTCGTAAAAGGCGCTATGTACTACTGCATTTCACAATACTAGCTATGTATTCCTGTGATTTAGCAGCATTTTTTTTTTATTCGCCTGCATAAACTACATGTAGTTTGGGTGTCTTCAGAGGATGTCATCTATAAAATGAAGGTATGGCTTTATCAATAATTTGGTCTTCAGAGACTCATTCACAGTCAATGGAACACCTGTCAGAGACCTTATCGTGTTTTTTAGTTTATCAACGAGCCGTTACGTTACTAAGTCTTGTTGTGGGACTTGAACAGTCTACTGGGCATGTTAAAAGGAATAAAATGTTGCTTGTGAATTTTGATGTTATGTTATCCTTGATGCTGCTGTAATTTCTTTTTATTAAGGGTAACATTTTTTCGACAATCTGGTTAATTCCAAAATAAATTCAACAGGAAATTCATAAGTTGCCCTTGAGAATTGTATAATAACATAAGACATAGTGATTTTTTATTCACATGCAGGTATGCTATTATAGTTGCATTCATCCAAAAAGCTAAATACATCATAATCTTATTACACCTACATGTAACAGCACATCAAATTATGACTGCTCCATTGTTAAAAGCAGCCAGGGGCTATCCAATGTCTTTGGAATTCCATACCTGGATGGGTAGTATTAAGCTAAGAGATTTCCTAGCTACCAATAATCTTATTCTGTTTGATGTGCATTACACAATTCATATTCAGTCATAACAAAATTAATAGACAAAGTTCATGCATGTATATGTCAGCAACTATAATATCACTTACTCCCTATCTCTTATAAATAACACACACAATATATATATATATAAATAACATAAAAAAGTGTTAACTATTTACAGAAAAAAAAATGCACTGCAAAAAAATACAAACTTAAAACATTGCATATGAAAATGCTACAACTTTGATGAGCCACCAGTTATACAGCATTGCAGTAGAGGCATATAGCAAACGCCATCCTCCATAAATAAATATTACTTCACGCTTACTATAATAATATACTAACCATGTATTATTATAATACTTAGTAATACATGACTATAGTTCTGGATATCAATAACAATGGAAACAGACAACAAAGCATGTACATGTACATTATTATAGATATTGCTGGCACATAAAATTACATGCTTCTTTATTGTACAAGGCACTGCTCTATATACTCTTGTATTTATCACAAAGCCAGAATGTTATGTAGGCTTCAAATCAAGTCAATTCATAATTTCTTACACTATTAGATCTTCTTACATGTAGTCTGATCAATTCTCTTGAGCAAATTTATAGTAGAGGAGACATGAAGGGTTACATGTACATGTATCACCACTTGCTGTACCATCTTTTACCTGAAGCTAAGGGTGTAGCACACCACACAATTATTATCATTAAGTGGCCGTTATTTGCAATAGGTACATTCAAGGTACGTGCCTTTCTTATCTACTTTATTAATACTTTAATTTTGTTTGTTACCATGTAAAACATTTACAGCAAACACTTATATACAATTATGATACTGATAACACGTTGCACATTCAATCTGATATATATAGCAGACATACATGAACCCACACTTTGTCTTGCATTTTGGCATGCATGGAGGGATTCCAACACTTTATTTATATGCCGAACACATTGCCTTCTCCCTGAAGGTTCCCTCGTAGAGTGAGAAGTGCGCCAGTCACCCGCTGATCCAAAGTGTACTTGAATATCTGGTAAAATGTGCCCTGCAGAAATAAAGTAATTAGTTTATTGCTAAAAGTCACAAATCTTGTGCCCTTTGTGCACTTTCATCACTTCACTCAGGTGGAAATAAGTACTGGTACCTAGCTTTGGTTAGGGACGTCCCTCGGATAGGACGTTAAATGGAGGTCCCGTGTTTGCGGAGAGCCACACCCCACGCATGTTGAAGATCTTATCGAAAAGAATAGAGGTCCTTCCCGGTGTGAGTGGTTCAAACCTTATAGTCTGTACTGACTATACAAAACTGGTGTGTTACTCTGAGTAAAGGTAGTTTACTGGCTATGCAAAACAAACAAACAATTTCAAGTTTTACATTATTTTCCTAAAACATATATTTAGAGGATTAGGAGCAACTTACAAAGAAGAAGTAGCTTCTTCTCTGAGTGAACATCTTCCACGACAAACGTGTCCTGTCGTCTCCCTCGTCTTTGAAGGTCATGACAATCCGAGGCTGGTGGGCAAAGAAGTCTGACTCAAACGCCAGCTTCTGGTTTTCAACATAGGCTACAATCTGGGACAGGCAGAGGAGAAATGAAGGTCATATTGGTAAAGTTACATATATTGATTGTTCAGATTACAATGTACTAGACCTTGTTGTTACAGCAATTAAGTGTTTACCAAAGAAAAACATTGTTTCTGCTACATTTCCTCTTCTACTTCAAACCAAAAAGGGCAATGACCTGAACCAGAGTGTCTGTTACCATGGTAACTAGTGTTGGGTTACATCATGTCTTGTGATTCAACTGAAATATTGGTGATGTGCTTTGGCTGGCTGGTTGGATGGCCTTGATAGACTAAGCTTCCTTCTAATTGTTTTTTCCAGGAGACCTGTCATATTGATCTCAATTGAGGAACTGGCCATTGTATCTGAACCAGTTATCTGATGTCTATGTCTGATTGATTGATTCATTAATTGTTACCCTGCACATTAATGATTTTTTTCTTACATGGTTAGCCCTTTGTAATACTATTACCCATTGGTAACAATAGACAGCCCTGACTGTATGTCTACATACATTTGTCAATCATAATTACAACAAACATTTTTAGTTGCAAATATACATTGTGCCATCTTACAACAAATGTTATAAAAAAAATCAACAAAACACTGTAAATCATAAAACACTGAATTGGATCACATATATATACCCACCTGCAGTCTGCATTTTGCAGAGACATTTCTAATATTCGAAAGTTAAGCAACCTGCAATTTTGCAGACAGAAAAAAAATCTGGCTTGGGGCTCAATGGTGTTGGCCTCTGTGGCCACTGAAAAAAAGGATTTCTACCACTGTTTACCTTAAAGTTTTCGTTCAGCTCCCCGATGATAGGAACCCAGTAGGCTCCGATAAACCTCTTTCCTGGCTTCATGTTGGAATGTTCCACTTCCTGCATCCATACCAGACCTGGGTACCACTGAAAACATGATTGTGAGCAAACAGACCTTAGTTTTATAAGATGAAAATATCACAGATTCTGAAATACCTAACAATGAGTGTAACCTTAGATGTGAATTTTACATGTTGCCATCTGTTAATTTTGGTGGTAAATTGTCTTCATTGTACACTATGACTATATGAGGATTTACAAAAATATAGGCTAGAGGCCAAGATCACTCTACACCCCCATAAGATTTGGGTATTTTGTCATTTTTGATTAGCACTTTTGCATGTTGGGTACTAGTATTTATAATGTTTAGATATTGATGTCCTTTTGTGATTTTTGTATCTATTATGCATAAAGATTAAATGTTCAAACATCTGTGTCATTACACTTTAATTTAATACAGCAATGTCCAAACAGAAGATTTTTTACCAATAGATACTACTAGTACTAGTGTTAGTACTGTTAGTAACTTATGACTTGTAAAAATTACACCTCTAAAAAAACAATAAGCAAATAAACAATGAATCGTACTTACTACCAAATACATGTACATGGATGGAGACTTACCGATGGGTATGTCCTGAGATTGGACACATAGCCAAAGACTTCTGACCGGTTCTTCTTGATGACCACATCTTTGGACACCACTAACGGGTCATTGCTCAGTTCTATTTGTGCAAAAATTGCTGCGATGGTTGACACGATAGCCACAGCAATCAGTTTTCCCATCATCTTGTTGGTGTATTCTTCCGTGATCCACAAGTTATTTTTAGAATTCTTAGGATAGAATCCTGTTTCTTAATTTTCACTAAAAACTGTCCAAAGAGTTACAACATGATCATCTAATACCCAGTCCTGTAGAGAGAAAAGAAATCTATCTTTTAATTTTCTTCTGTCAATCAGTATATTGTGATTAATGATAATTCTCTTAGCTTGCATACATGTAAACTTGTGCAATACCTTAATACCCTTAATTTCTTTTCCAAAATCTCAAAACAAATTATATAATAATAATATTCTTGCTGCATGAGGGTTTTTTAACCCCAGCACCCATTATTGAAATGTACATGTGCAAGATGTTTTGCATTTGAACAAAATAATAAATATATAATTGCATGGGTACTATATAATATTATACAGCTAGTATATCAATTTCTTCTGCTTCATATATATTTGCCCCATAGAAATTGGCATTCAGCCAGTCATCTAAAAATATGATCCACAAAAGTTCTATTAATATATGCTTGTCTCAAGCAAGGAACTTCTAACGTTACAACCAAAATAACTTTTTAAATAATGCAATTATAATCATAAACGTATTGCTGTCATATGTCGTTCTTGTAGTAGTATGTTGTTGTTTTTTGGTTGGCTGTAGTGTAACATATTTCATAACACCGAGTATTCTTGGGTGTCGCTGTATCTACACTATATACAGTGATATAATATATAATATATAAAATGATGATATGAAACATACACGAGAACAACAAGCTATAGAAATATAATGATGTATCCCGCAGGTGCAAATATATATAAAATGGATAAATATTCAAGAGACATCTAAACGACCAGGAAACTCAAAGGAACGGCCCAAAACTTGGTTTATTCAACTGAACCATTCATAACGTCCTTGGTTTTAAAACGTATCACGCTTCCCAACATCTAAATTAGGCATTTTGAGTAAACTGGTCGATCGTCAAACAAAGAGAACGTAAAATACGACGGAAACTATGACCGGCCACCCTTAATGTACCGCATATAACCTTCAGCAAAAACACGAGGATTGACTCTGGGCAACTTACAAAGAAAATATCAAGGACCCGTGTTTATTTTCCATCCCAGGTTACATTTTAGAGGGTAAAATAAGGTGTGAGATGTACAAAAACGAACAATTATCTGTCAACTTACCTCACCTGAGAGCAATTTCCGCCATTTTGCGGAGGTCAAAGGTTACAGAAATGTATGAGAATATAGCCTCTAATTTCGCGCCAGCCGATTCGCAACATTCAACACAGTTTGCGAAGAATCCGACAAATTTTTAGTAGTAGGGTATGAAACAATATCACAAAAGTATATTTTACAAAAATTTATATAAAAACAAGAAAATGTTGTGATGAAAATGATTGTCAAGTGACTTTGTTGAACAATCAAGGGTAAATCTTTAGCATGTTATTCCACTCCACAGATTCGGTTTTACAATGCACCTGTTTATTGCACACGATTCTGTCCTGCACGCAACAACTTTTATATTGATCCGAGATTTTAAAAAATTTCTTCGATTTTTCTTCCAGGGTTTTTATCTTATTCTTTTCTTAAATGTTTGCAAGTACATGTCGTTAAATAAAATGATAACAGTGAGAGAATAAATTCATTGTCGATTTAATGATATGCGCTGATAGTACAAATGTATAATTAGAAACCTTATTACACATTTCTACGGTCAAGACTGCCCAACTGTCACATACATGTATAGTATATGTGGTCAGTTCACAATATACAAATTAACATATATTAAGTATCTAGCCTTGTCATGTTTACATGTACTACTCTGTCTTCATATTACATGTACTAGTACATGTATTTTCAGTCAGCCATATCGGCATATTTGCCATAAACTTGTTTATGAAGAAACTTTGCCATTTTTAGTGAATGCCTAAAAGATTATGAACGCCTACGGTAAAGGTCTTTACTGTGACTTATCCGATGTCTCAGTGCTCAGACTGGGTACTACATGTACAAACATGAGTTTTTAGTCCATCCGTCTGTACAGTTCTTAATAAGTGATGTGTGTACTGCCAAAGCTTTTGAAAGAAAACCTGTATAAATAATATACACCGGGTTCGTGAGTAGTTTAGGCTATAAGGGATGAAGTGTTTGGTTGAAAACAAAGACTACACAAAGAAGTAAGTAACAACATTGTCTGCCAGGTTTGTTCCACTGTCATTTATTAGTAAATAACGGCGTTTCGTTGACAAAAAATGTTGTGAAGTCGAGGGGAAACATTGACCGCAAACAGATTTATTTCGTTAAATACTCGCGGGTGAAGTTGTGATCTCTCTGTAAACAAAGCCCGTGAACCAATCAGAGACCAGGTGAAGTGACCCTACTAGTCCTACCTGTCTACCCCCCAGGTGTCTCACCTTTCGGGAGTACAATAGGACCTCAGAGAAGTGTAAACAACTCGACCTCAGGCGACCAATTAGCAACTCTAAAGCCGCGTGGTTGGTTACTAAGGAGACCAGAGTTGTTTGACAACGGGGGACACGAGACTGGGACCGGAACAACAAAAAACTCTGTGTAGTAAGTTCTCGATCCAAGATGGCCCAGGCAGGTGTTTCTCGCCCTGCATCACAAATGAGCATAGGCTCGGCTCGTGTCGGGCTTACTCTGCCGGAGATTCAGCACCCGATCTCTCGACTTGGCGACCCCGATAAAATCTCCGTCCGCGGCGTCTCGAGGCAAGGCGGCCGCGGGGAGTTGGAAGACCCGGCGCCGCAGAGGCCCCTGGCTTCCGAGAAGGATTACACCGCTCACAGGGTCCGTACGGCCGACAAAACTCACCGCGCTAAGAAGGAAGCCCTCCCGCCTATGAAGTATGAGTCCATCCCTGAAGGAGTCGAAGTGGTGGAAGCTACGGACCCGAACAAAGCTCGTCTACCTGTGTTCGGTGAGTCAAAAACTTTCACGTACTTTTCTCAGGGCACTTCTGAACACTGCACAAGTGACTGACCCGACAACAGGTGTTTGAACCCACTTTTCATTCAAACTGAAGTTCGCTTTTCCGTCAAGTTGAAGCAATATCTTCGTGTGAGACTAGCAGTCCGATGTGAATGTTTATAATCAGGATCTTTAGAGTCCATTTCTTCTAAGATACGAGCACCTATTGAAGTAAAATAAGCTTAGTCTCAATTGTCACAACTAATTATGTATATATTTTACATAAAATCGCCTTATCTGTGCCCTTGAAGCCACTTCATTTAACCGAGCTGAATTTATCGCACCTTCAAGAACTTTTGTTCCTCTGAATTACGATTCTTGTAATCGGTTTATATCCCAATACCCTCCCTACAACATAATGAATCAAGTGTTGAGGACGGCTTTATTTGCCGAACCGTAAACAAATCACCCCGGCCAGTAAACAAATCGTTCTTTCGTATAGACACGTATTATCAGTAAAAATAGCAATGTTTCCAAGGCATTTACCCCTGTACTAATTTGTATACCGCATCCGTGAACAATCGATCTAATTAAAAAGACTTTTATTACTTTGTTGAGGTAAGGGGGATTTTATAGGTCACACATGTATACACCCGCGGCCATGTTGTCTTAGATACCAAAAACACTCCGTCGTTTGCTTCCACCGATTCTTCAACACCTGTCGCTATTCAAAACTTTCCTTCATCACAAATCTCCCAGACCGACAATTTAGTCTCGTTACACACAACTTAGTGGTCATTACGCTGTGACTTATGAGTGGGGGCCTTAAAAGCATGTCGCAATCAACAGGTTGCCATAACGTTGAGAGCTTGATATACAATCCAAATGGCGGACTTGAGTGCTGAAAGTGCACTTACACCTGGTCTTATGTACACTGTTATTACACAGCAACCAGTAACCGGAAGGTTTACTACGTCGTTTTGAATTGAGGAGAGAATACGGGATTTGTTTAGTACCCCTATTTTTACCATTGCAGCTAAACCTCACTGCTTTAAACGCAAACCATTTTGTTTATTTTAGGTGCTTAGTACTCATTTTACCTTCCCTATGCCCTTTAGCCCCTACTTAACAAACTGTGCGTGTGTACATATGGGGAACAGATAAGAAATGGCGTGGTCGTGACCGCACATGTATGTTCTGCTTAGGACGTGTACTGATTTTAGATCACCGGGTTCCAGAACTATCGATGTGAGGAAACCCTACACGCTTGGTCGCACTTTCTCCATTCATTCTCAGTCGCGTTGAAAGCTCTTGAATGGATCATGGAAGCAGGGCTGTTGTTTCACCTAGAAACTGTCCTCTTTAAGTACATTTCTTCATGCGGCGCTGCGTTTGCAGTCATTCGAAAGAGCAAACAGAAAACATCGCATACTTTTAGGCTTAACAATTGTATACTGCTCCTAGGCACACTCAGTGTTATCGAACGAAGCCAACAATAAGATTCGTATTTCAACACTCAAAATATTTGGCCGTCTTTTGTGACTGTTTACTTTATTACAATGCAAGTCGAGTGGAACGCTAGGATCCTTTAATCTGCTAAATCTTCAAAGACCATACCTAACATACAACTTAGCAACACCGATATATCGTGTTGACAAATTTGTAGGGATAGGAAGCTATTCATTAAACAGAACTCATCGTAGATTAAGTACTAAAATCCACTCTAAATTTTGAAGGTTTTATTCCTGTAAATGTTTATACTGGACACATCCAAACCCAATGTTATTACCGACGTTAACTTCTACAGGTGGTATATTCTATATGGACATGATTTTCTGTAGGAAGAACATTCTAGTATGACTCAACACTTTAAAAGTGGATGACATGCTGTTTTCACAATGACGTCCGCACCAAGACACACATGGATACTGTACATAGTTAGAACAAACCTGACCGCCTGAACAAACATCTCCTACCTGATTCCACTCCTCTCGGGTTGCACATATTCAATGAGACTCTCTCTTAAACACTTCAATACGGACTAGACGTTTAGTTTGCGCGGGGTTAAAGATGGCAGACACCGTTTCAAGACAAAAGAATCGCGTGACTAGTACGTCGGTAGACACAGAATCACTCACTTTCTAATAACAATGCATGGCTTCAATCCGTATCAGCAACACATTGTCATCATATTTTCTATCTCTGTATGGGTTTAATTAGATTGTAAAACGTTAAATAGGCCATAGGTAACGCTTGATGCATCGACAAAGGAACGTTGATAAGTTATCAGAAAGGTTGTTGATTAAATTCTTACAGGATTGTACTTTGTTGACATTATGTACAACTGATGTTAGTAATGGAATTCATTTCTTTGATAAGAGCGAGCAGACAGTCTTATTGCATACTGTGGTAGCTGCCTTCAAGGAACCAGAGCATATATTATAACATATGACCTGGGTATTATCAAACTATACACGTACAGACGTAATCACAGGGATAGGCGTATCAATTCTAAGCATGTTCATCTTAAAATGCGTTTTCAACAGCAATAAAATATAAAAGATACAAATTGTAAATAGATGATACAAATAGATGCTAATTGGAAAATAATTCTGACAGGGATAAATACATATTCCAAAAAGCAGTTACTCAAGCAACTGGATATGATTTTGAAATCATATCCAGTTGCTTGAGTGACTGCTTTTTGGCGTATCGTATTACCTGGATGTCTAACCTTCATCGACGTATAAATACATATTATTTTAGAATATAGGAACCGAAATTTTCTTGTTGTTGGCTGAAAGGTCTATATACTGTTCACACATTGCAAATATTGATAGATTTTAGGAAATCACTTTTATCATTTTTATATTTCCCCAATGCCCAGGTTCGCGTGCAGACATGGCTAGCCGCGCAGAGAGCCGTGTGAGTGTGGGGAGTCAGGGCAGCGTCAGGAGCGTCCTGTCCCGTCCTTCTACCAGACTCCGCCTGGAGATAGACGAGGTTAGTCAACTACAAACTCAGACTATTTTAAAACAGCTGTACTTGCTTTTGGGGTCCTATTGTTTGCGTGTAACATTTTCAATATTGTTGTTTAAACTTGTCAGGCACGTTTAGTGTTTTTCACTCACAGGTCAACAGATTTGGCAGGTAGCTATAACTTTAAATATATACTAAGCTTTCCTAAGCAAGAATACCAAAATAGTAATGTACAGGCTTAAGAGAACAATAGTTGTAGTTTTTCTAATACGTGCCGTTAACTGGGAGTTTATATCACATGAAACCACTCTCTAATGCATTCATAGAACAAGCTCTTCGCGTGTATAAATGCTAGAGTGTAGACTTACACTATAAGCGTTTTTATTTGCTCAGCTGGAAATGCTATTGCGGGAGAAAATGAAGGCCGGGTTCTACACCATGAGGCAGGCTTTCAAAGCGAACGACCCTGAAGGGAAGGGAATAGTCTCCAAGGAGGCGCTGCTGCACATTCTGACGTCATTCCTGGGCCGACCAATCACGACCAAGCAACTGAATCATCTACTTGCAAGGTACTTAATGAAGTTACGATTGTTGCTTACACTTTATACTTCTTAGCAGTGGAAACCTGTGACATGGCATGAATAAAAGACAAGCTAAAGTGTACACAGTAAGGAAAATGTATTGACTGTGCTTATTGCAACATTACAGACGTTGCTATAGCTATATCTCGTTAGTCTTTACATTGTTTGGCCGGTGTATAAACAGTTACTTTTATTGATATCTCTAATTCTCTTTGTTAATGGTTTTCTTATTTCTAGGTTGGGCCTTGCCAACAAGAGCGTGATCAAGTTTGATGAGTTCTATGCCGTGTTCCGGGAATCCGTGTCCTCAGAGTACCCCCGGTGGCTGGACCCCGTACAGCGCCACTTCCAGGACAAAATCACCATGTCTTCCACCGCAGTCCACACACAACTCAAGGAGAAAGCTAAAATGAAGTACGTAATACGAAAACTACCATACCTAACACAGCATGACTAGCTAGCCCATACCTTTTTACACACAAGTTTCAATAGACTCAGTCAGTAGGCTAGTGGGCATATCTTTTTCCTCTTGATTTTAATAAAGATCTTAATAAATCCCTTGTCCTGCTGTGCGCAACATATGTCGCGCGGCACATACAGTACCATCTATATAACACCCTGTATAGGTACAATTTGGGGGTATTTCTCGTGCAACGCATCACACCGCAGCGAAACGCAACGAATGCGGAAGTAACTATGCCACTGCAGGGCAAAAAAAATTAGGGGGTCTATGATCTAATTAAGACATGAAAATATTGAAAAATATTGTGCCAGGAATGCCAGCAGGACAAGGGTTAAGTTGTTACCAGCCCCCATTCTGAATGCAGAAACATAAAAATGAAGCGTTTGAAATACAGTATATCGCATCATGCTGTTGCAGCACTTCGGCTAAAGCTGCGTAACGTTCTTGAAATGTATGAGCTGATATTTGAAGAATTTGCCCCCTACTGTTACGGTATTGTGTATGACCAAAGGTTTATAGAAACAAAGATAGGCACCGTCCTATATAGCATATGGTCTGCAAAAGACCTATTTTTAAGTCACTAAATGAATGGTTTCTTTACAGGTTCCTGGACCTTGGTGACCTGATTCCACAGAGCAACCCGGGCGGTTCACTCCGTATCCTTCCGCCAGAGTTCCGTAACATCCTGCAGAGAATGGGCTTCTTCCTGGAGGACGATGAGTTCGGCAAGCTGTGGAAAAAGTATGTTCCTTTCTTTTTCTTCAACAACTTTTGTTGAATGTCACTTGTCACTCAAGATGGACGTCTGACAAAATGTTTTGCCTGATGTCTGTTTGCAGCGGATTTCTCTGGCACTGCAGTAGAAGGAAAACATATCGTTTTTGCTCTGTTTTCGTTTTTTTCTCTTCTTCTCCAAACCAATAAGGTCAATGACCTGATCCAGACGTCTGTCACCATGGTCACTAGTGTTGGGTAGCATCATGTTGTCATTTTATAGCAGGAGGGAATTAGACTCCTGTCCATATATGCATGTGTTTGAGTAAGAATTAACAGAGTAAACAATATGCGCAGGTAAACGTTATGCATATGTTTTGCCAATGTTACTTATTCACCCTTCTGGTCTTCTTTGTCTTAAGATATGATCCAGACGACCTTGGCGTCATCAAAGGTGACTACCTGATGAAGAAACTCGGCATCACCTTCAGAGAGAGCACGGCGAGTACGAAGAGGTCCCCGCGGGAGGAGACCGATGTGAGCCTGCCGCCCACCCCTGCCCCGGCCGCTGTTCCCGCCATCCAGCCGTCCAAAAGTCCCGTCCCCGCCGAAGAGAAAGCTGGTACTCCACGTAAGTGGTATAGTTGATTTTTGGCGACGCCTTAGGGGTAGAGCAATTGTGTAGTAATTTATGGTTGTCCAATGAAAGGAAACGACTAAAAGTGTCCATCGTTGGTCATCATGAATTAGATCCTTTTTGTACAAAGTTTGAACTTTATTCATCAATAGCGGTGGCACAATCGGTCACACCGCGCGCAGAAAACAAATTTAAAAAATTGTTAAAATATTAGGAAACAAACACTAATTGTTAAAATATTAGGAAACAAACACTAAAAACTAAGCAATGATCATCAGGTGTGTAGGTTTAAAGGTTTCCGGAAGTCGATACCTACCGCTGTCATAGCTTCCTTAATATAGCACAGCCAGATACTACGTAAAGTATGATGTGTCATTTACCTTCATCACTTTCTTTTGAATAGCACCGTCCACAAGAAGGTCCCTGACGAAAGCAGACGTCGAGAGGAAGACATCACTTGACATTGAGAACTGGCTGAAGAACAAGTTCAGAGAAGGCTTCAAGAACATGAAGAGTGAATTCGCCAAGTACGATCCTAAGAAGGAAGGAAAGGTAAATACGTTTTCCACAAGACTTGTTGAAAATTGAATCTCATAGATCATTATCTAAAAAAGAGGATAATGCAAAGATTTAGACTATATAATAATGCTAGCGCTGTTTTCGACCAGGGCTACCCTTTTTATTATTAGTTGACTGTCGGTGTGATTCTAGTCTCTAATTTCCATTCTGCAACCTTCTTTAGGTGAGCCGAGATGATTTCAGCAAAGTTCTGGCGAAGTTTGGCCTCCAGCTAAAGGAAGATGCACAGTTGGACCAGTTCTTTGCTCGTGTGGGGCTCGGACCGAGCGACGCCCTGTCTTACCGGTACTTCCTCCAGCGTTACCAGGACCGCAGTGAGGCTGGCATGCCCCATCAGATTCTGTCTGACGAGAAGCACAGGTTAGTGGGGCAACAATTACGTTCGACGAACCCTGATCCTTAACCTAACTGACCTTCTGCTTTTTATAATCTGTGTTCTGATTCTCATTTTCTTTGGGTAGACTGTCATGTGTCACCTGTTTATAGGGTATACAGTATAGACCCCGCTCACGCACATAAAAAAATGGGTCAGGATTCTGCATGCTGCAGAGTCGATCCGGATTGAAATTCGTCAATCCGGGTCGTTTCATGCAGTGTGAACGCTCCAATCCGGATTGATTTTCTCCGATTCGAATCCAAAAGTAATCCACCTCGAGGAGGTAGACACTTGCGGCGGATCCGGATCGGACGTGTCCGCAAGTGTGAACGCAAGGTGTCTTATGGTACATCGCCAAAATTACAATTACACTTCTCTCTTGTTTATTACAGATTCAACCGTAGCGAGGGTGCAGGTAGCGTGGCAGCCTACTCAACAGCCACCGGTGCAGAGGCCAAGCTGATGAACATGTTCCAGTCTGAGTTCTTGGCGCTACTTGGAACATTCCAGTAAGTAACATTCGTACATTGTGATTATCAGGCTCTGTTCAGTACATATCTTGCATGTGTGGTCTTAACTGTATCTTGCAATGTAGTTACTATTTGTAACTAACATGTATAACATCTAGAATTTGGAATAAGAGATGTTGGTTTGCTCCCCTACCAGCCTTTATTTAACTACAGAATTATGTTTGTTGGGAATATGCTTAATGACTAAATGTTCTTGCTCATTCACAGTAAAATTGACAAGCGAGGAACAGACCTGATCACACAACAGGAGTTCCGAGCGGCGATTGAGAGCAGGTTCGGCATCGAAGTGTCAGATCAGGACTTTGAGATCCTCCTGGACAGGGTTCCACTCAACAACGACGGTCTGGTCAAATATCCCGAGTTTATGGCGCAGTTTGACACCAGGTTTGTAGAATACTATGACCGTTTTGTGTGTTACCTAGAAAAACATTTTTGGCATGGTATTTTCAACTGTGTCCTGTTGCTTAATTCTTTCATAATCTAAAATTATCTAAAAAAATTTTGACTGCTAACACCAAAATTCAAAGGTTGCCCTGAACGTGTACTTCTCTGATTATGAAGTATTAAATATGATATTCGTTTACATTCTACAGAGGGGCGGCACCAAGCTTGTTCGACGCAAAGTCCACAAAAACAGCGGTCACCAAGAAGAAGCCAAAGGAAGAAAAGAAGCCCAAGTTGCCAGACCCAGTAGAGCTCGAGTACGAAAAGGGAAGAACCGCTGAACAGGTAAGAATACTTCACTGTTTCCTATCTCAAACCCACAATCAATAATCAATAAACTAAAAAAAGGTGTATGTATATTGTTAGTCTTCAGAAGTATCTACTTTTAATTGCAATGCTTTAACAGGGTGTTAACATATTGTATTTCTCTGTCGCAGCTCTTCGTGGTTATCAAGAAGCTGATCACTGAACGGTTCCACGATGTGGAAGAGGCTTTCTACGAGTTGGACGAGAACAACACCAAACGTCTGACTCAGGACATGATGTTCGATCTCGTCAACAGGTACGGCATGTGTCATTTCAAAACTCAATCCAGAGGATATAGCAAAAATATGGATAGATAGTCATCTAGAATTCTAAGAGGAGATAGGATGGGCCATGGAACATGCCTTGCAATTTGGTACTATTTAACTATGTGTTTAAATATGATTGTTTCTTAGAAATGGTGGTTAAGCTTGGCGTCTACAATTGGATAAAAGTGTCAGGAATTCATTATCACTCGCTGCCTCAGTAAAATAGTTTATTGGTTCTAACTAAGATGGGTTTATGTGTTACGCGCAAAGTCCAACACCATATTCCTATGACTACAGATTCAATCTCCACCCCAAAATCACGCGTGGCGAGGTACGGCGGCTGTGGGACACTTTCATCACCAACGTGGACAAGACGCTCGACTATCTCCAGTTCGTCCGCCATTTCGGCTACTCTGCCAAGTCTGCTTCCTTCCCCAACGCTAAGATCTCCCCTCCCAAACGTGGCGACAACGACTGCATGATCCGCTCCAGGAAACTCAACTGTGCGGCCGACATGCTGGAAGACAACCTGCGGGCTAAGGTTAGTACACGTTGAAAAGATTGCAGCCGTCTTAGTGTCAGCACTGGACCTTTAATTTCGTGTATACATGTGTATCATACATTTACACGTTAAAGTGATATGGCCATGACGTTGTAATGACGAACTTGTCTGCCTGTGTATTTGTGCATGTGTCCCCTCCCTCTGACTCTCATTGTCGTTATCTATATTCCAGTTACTCTGTGTCTTCTCCTGTAATGTTTCCTTGATTCCCAGTACTTTCAATGCTGTGTGACCAGGCATTCTAAGTAAAGTATGTAGGACTGAGAACGTCGCAAATAAGTACAGGTAAAGGGTGACGGGTAAATTCTGCGATCTTTGAAAACTGTTCTCTATGCTCATCATCACCTCTGTACTCCGTTGCCAGGTTGACTACATGTGGGATGAACTGCGGAAGGAGTTTCTGGAGATGGACGTGTACCACACCGGGTTCGTCAGCCGTGAGGAGTTCCACGACGTGCTGACGGAACTGTGCGTACAGCTGTCTGAGTACGAGAAACACGTCCTGGCTGACAAGTTCTCCACCAGGGGAGACGGAAGGTAAACTTCGCATGATCTTTTAGAAAAAAGTGTTTCTCGGCAGCATTTTCTTTTTATATTTACCGATGGAAACCACATGTTTCCTCGTCTTCTTCTTCTCCAAACAAATAAGGTCAATGACCTGATCCAGACGTCTGTCACCATGGTAACTAGTGTTGGGTTACATCATGTTGCAATTTTATAGTAGGAGGGATTTAGACTCCTGTCACCATATATATTTGAGTGTTTGAGTAAGAGTTAACAGAGTAGATCATATGCAAAGGTACACATTATGCATTTCTATAAAGCAGCATTTCACCTGTAATGAATAATGGTACCCATATGAGATAATGAGATATGTTTGTATTCCACAGAGTGTCATACATTGAGTTCCTGAAGCCGTTTGCCCTGCGGAAGACAACCTTCCGACACGGTAACAACATGCTGAACCTGCTGCAGCATCCGCAGGCAGAACTGCCCATGAAGGACGTGGTGGACGATCCCAACAAGGGTCTGGGAGGGATCACGGCGAGACTAAGGCAAAAGGTATGATAGCAAACGTTTTACAAAACAAGTTTAAACTGCATTTTCCAACATAGCAAATTGGACTTACCCAAATTTTCGACTGTACAACTCCAGTCTTTGTCAAGTAATGAGCAATCCCCTGCTTCCGTGACGTCACGCAGATTACACACGTGCCTCCTTGAGGCAGTGGATCATAGGTTGCTGAAAGTCTGTGGCGCCCCCCGTCTCTGTTGTGGGAGGGTTGCAATGCCCTGATGTAGATGACCCCTTTCTCGTGTAAACTATGAGTGATACCAATTTTGAAATCTTTTACCTACATTGTAAGTCATTTGTATTTCATACTGTTTTATTGTTGGTTCTACCATTCACTTCTCGTATTTTTAACAAAAAACGACTGTTTCTTTCTTCTACAGCTGGCGGGAGATTGGAAGTACCTTCGCCGCGCGTTTAAGAAGCTGGACAGCGACAATACCGGCTACCTGTCCCTGCCAGAGTTCCGCTCCGTCCTGCGGCTCAGTAACCTCATTCTAGACGAGGACGAAGTCTACCACGTCATGTCCAAGTTCGACGAAAACATGGAGGGAAAGATCCCCTACAACAGGTTCTTAGAAGACACGTTGAGAAAGAAGCTAGACTCGCCGAGAAAATCGGTGTCACCCAGGAAGTCCACGGCATAGATAGAAAAGAGCTCCGTCCCTAGGGCGTCACCAAAACTGACCATAAATTTCACTGATCGAAAGAATTGAGCTGTTTTGATTCATTCTAGAATAATAGAGAAAAAACGTAAACGATTTTATATCATAAGTTATCCTGTTTGTAATTATTAGGTTTTATACCTTTACACGGTTGAGATTGATAATTGCATTGCAAAGTGTATCTTCTTCATTATTCATTATTATTCTGTTCATCTTATGTAGTTCTGTCTAGAAGACGATGTAAACACTAAAGATTTATAACGATGAGATTTTGATACAGAATTTAAAGGGTAAGGGTTAATTTGTTTCTTATGATTAGCATATTTTTTCATCTCATAAGACATCATGTGGAATGTAACTTTTGTACAGCCTTTTCCAGTTTCTCATACTATATAATACTTAAATAGACTTCTTTATTACTAAACGTACGACCTCTCGAATCTAAGAACTTTTTACTTGCCATGGGCTTTCTATAATATTTCTGATGCCTGTACTTTTTCGTCTAGTGTTCATTTTGTACCAATAGTAGTTTGAAATATTATTTTTATGACAAGCTGGCGATCGTGTACACTATCGAGATTAATGAGTTTAACGTTTTGATTGATTGTAACTATGTTATACCATGCGTTATAGATTCTATATGCATTGTCATACTGCTTCCTAGGTATGCTATTAGGATTCTGCTGAGACATGGTGGTTGTGTAATAGATGTAAGGGTAAATGAAGCTATAAGGCATTGTAGCATTAAGCTGCTTATTATGCACTTTAGATAGAAAACGACAGTTTGGTCTGAATGAGTCTTGGAGTGACACTGAAGACTCCGTCCTATCCATCCATGAGGCATGATGCTGCTATTAGTACTGAACAGAAGAGACAAGCCTTTTTGTGGTGATGGAACATGTGAAATAAATGACACTGTGTATGCACTACATTTGTCTTTTACTTAGCTATAGTTTAACAGTTTTCTAAGTAGAACGTAGTACTACAAATTATCATACTGGATTTATATCTATTAGTTTTAAAAAGAATCCTGTCTTGGTTGGCTGATTTGAGAACTGAAGTCATGAACCGAACAATGCTTTGTTGATGATTCGATTAGACTTGAGTAGAATCAAGAATTTATCTTTTTCACCCGCGATAGTTTACTCCTTTTGTCTTCCCTTGGGGACTAAACTTCAGAATCGTATTTTATCTATTTGTCCAATTTTGTCGAGTTTTTATCGACAGGGATGTGCAAAGTAGCGAATAGACACATCCACTATACTACAGTATGTTAAGACGAAGATGTCTTCAGTACCTTTACTGAAGACGACGCGTGTTCCATACGTATCATAGCACGAGCGGTACGCTAAGTGTATTGCGAATACTGTTTTCTTACCTTTAAAAGACAAGAAAAATTGGAGTAACTCCGCCGAAGTCTATCTGGCATTACCACAATCATTGACGGTTCTGCTATGCTGTAGCAATCCGCTGGGGGGCGCTCCCGACAGGTAGTTCATGAGATGGAAGTACGGTCAAGTAACCAATGACGTCAGGTCTAGTAACACCACCTGTATCAATACTTCGAAGGTAGTTGTGATCAACGCGACCGACTCTTGGATCGACCCGATGGGCTCTTAATATTTCAAGGACCAAAGAGGTCCCAAATATGTTCTCGTGGCACCGAATGATGTGACCATTTCCCATACTCAAGTAGCCGCGTGTGGGCGAGAATAAACCACAAAGAATAACGGGACGTGACTGGCAGTCTTGTGATGTTATCAACACCAACACATAAGTACCCAACCTGGCCGCAGGCCAGGTGAGGTAAGGTCGTATCCTGGGCGGAACTCTCATCAAAAAGTTACATTTTAACTTTCGATTTACGAGGTGTGCCTTAGACTCAACATCAGTTTTTTTTTGTTGGAATTCATCTGTTGCTGATTGTGTGTTATTATATAATTATTTAACGTTAGTAGCTTTATGAAGGCCGCCAGAGCCTCGATAACTTTTAAAAAAATGTATAAATAATCAGAAGATAGAACATGATAAACATACAACCACCAGCGACGAAACCTGATTTAGAGGCTAGTTTTACACACTGTTCCCAGTTTCGCATGTAAACAAACCGTAGGTGGCGACTTCGGTGTGTGCGTTGCGTTGTTGACAAAAATTTATATTCTCGTCGGGTGACGCCTTTTTTGAGAGAAGCTATTGCCTTAAAGTTTTATATAATCCATTTTGTGATTCTGAAGTTCTCATCTCTTAGAAGGCAGAATACAAGGATGGCGGGGAGTAAGAACTTAGTTTTGGTGTTCGCAGTGACGATGTTGTTTTGGTCAGGTAAGGCCATGTGTTACTGTTACTAGTACTTCCTCCTATGTTGCTTGTTCTACAGACATGTGTTAACAGTAATCCTTTTCGCCTTCTGTCTAAAGTTTATAAAGTCATTCTTATGAAACTAGATAGGCCATTCTTTATTAATAGTGGTTACGTTACATCGTAATATTCATTGTGTCCAAGCGTAAAATGGTAGTAGCTGTTACATAACCATGTAAACAGAGCTACTGTATTCTGATCGCGATCGCAAGACTTCTACTGAAAGGGAGGGTAATGAATTTTACTATGGGCTTTACGTTTTTATTTAATTATTATTACCAGAAGCAAGCAAAGTACCAACCTGTTTTTGAAGTGCGTAAAAGAAGTTATCTATTCAGAATTAAGCAAATTTTGTTGTTGGAATTTCATGTTGTATGGCTATCTGTACGTTTAATCGTGTACACAATTTCCCTTGTTATATCACTGAAGTGTATAATATGGTTTTTACGTGAAGACGAAGTTAACTAAAGTTTTATCAGCCAGCACCAACTGAAGTGCCAAAAACTGTTTGCATAATCCTCTTGTTACCAAAACAGGTAGATCTAAGAAAGGATGTTTGTATGAAAACATAGTTCAAAGTTGAGTACGTAACATTTAAGCTAACTTTCAAACAATCTATGATTGTTACTGTTGGACAATATATACGGTTCATATTTGGCGCTACATTTGTTCATATATGCCTTAAATGCACACCGTTTGGATATACATCTGCTACTGTTTAACTCTGTGTAAGTGATAACAATAAATTCACAGATAACTACTAGAAGAGTGAAAGAATTCGGAGCTAGACTACAACTTGAAATTCACACTGTATACAACTGATGATGAAGGCCTAATGGTCGGCCTTGTGTTAGATCGGCAAATCGTATTTTTTTTAAATGCCTTTGAAAAAGGGAACCATTTTGAAAGAAGTTCCCTAGTTCACAAGTTATTTATGGCCGTAATAAGTGGAAGACACGTCAGCTGAAAAGTACTTCTTTCATATCTCTCTGAGGGTGATATAAGTTATATAACTGTTAGCTTAGGTGCAGGCATGTTTATAAAGGTTCGTTGTTTGACTGTTCCCTACTTAACCTGGTGCCTCAGAGTTCATGCTGGGAGGTCAACATTCTCAAGGTTAAAAGTATCACTTTGTTTGCGCACGCCTATCAACGTTTTTGCCTGTTACTGACGAAAGGTATTTCGGAAAGAAAACGTAGTGTCTTAAATGGCAACGCATAAATTCATACGGTTACTGTGAAGTTGAAAATATCAGTTAATTATGTTTACCGGATCTCGAGGAAATTATGTTTACGGGAGGAAAACATCTTGTTTTTGCCCCCATTTCTTCTTCTTCTCCTTCTCCAAACTAATAAGATTAATGCCCTGAACTAGACGTCTGTTACCATGGTAACTGGTGTTGGGTTACATCATGTTGCAATTTTACAGCAGGAGGGATTTAGACTCCTGTCTGACCATATACGTATATGAATGTGTTTGAGTAAGAAGTAACAGAGTAGACCATATCCAAAGGTAAACATTATGCATTTGCCTTGCAAATGTTACTTTTCTAGTTTATAACTTATTATATATTTTCTAACTGCATTGTGCATTTGTCTGATTAGTGAACGTAGAGGCTACTTCAAGTGCGCCCCCTGCTACGACAACGGGAATGACAACGTCAGAACGTACTGCTGCAGCGACTTCAACGGCAATGGTTGGCCCGGCAACCGTTCCCATGGCGACAAGTGACGCTCCATCCACAGCAGATGGAGGTACAACCGCGCCTTTGGTTACAACCGTGATCTCTATAGTTACCATAAGAGTTAATCTGTGTTTACTTGGTAGTAATCATAGTAAACACAGAGTCGGTGGACAATATAAATTCTTTGGCACTTTTGATAAATTGCTTACGTCACGTATCCGTAAAGTCTCATTTGAATAAGGTCACGTGTCTGTAACCGTTACTCTCGCGAGATTACATGTTGAAGTGATTGGTCATTGTTTATCCTAATGAAGACGACAGTGGTCATTAAACTTTTGTTTAATCTTTGTGTTTAAATAAAGTTTAACATTTTACTATGATCTCTTTAGTTACATCAAGTGTAGCAACGCCTACAACAATCGTGGGAAGCACAGTGGCCCATGGTACCACTCCAATTAATATGATGGGCACTTCAACTGCATCCAGCACTCTCAACCTTGACAGTTCTGTGGGCAGTGACACTGTTACTCCAACAGGGGGCGCTCCAGCACAGGACACGACGTCAGTCACCCCTCAGTCTGCTTTTGAGAACTCTCTTCAAGTTGCCACGAAAGTCGAGCAGGTTTGCCAGATTTCTTAACCTCCACTACTTCAAGATGTTTCTAACAGGAAACGGTAGTCTAGTTAAATTTATGAAATTGCGCCTGCAAAAATGTACTATATTTGATAGACACCAACAGAATATTCATTATTGGCCAATTTATTTCAGTGGGACGAGGTGGAACTTGCTCTGTTCCAAGCGATTGTGACGTATGGCACCAACCGGTACTGCAATCAAGGGGGCGCTTCCTGCTTCGGTCTCGGCAGCGTCAAAATCACGTAAGCGACTTAATGACTGGAATCATTATGTTTTGTTTTGTATTCGATGAATCATCTCCTGTGAAACACCTTTATTTATAAACAATCAAATGATAATGATCGTTGACTGTGAGGAAGTGTGAAATTAAAAAGGTTATGTGTGAAAAATGCATTTGGGAAAAAAACAACTTGATTAAGGCATTATTGTTTTCGGAAAAAGGTGCCACGCATGTTTAAAAGCAAAATGCATCAATACTACAGTTGTTGTCGCACAGCCAAAAGAATCTACCAGCCGGCGCCAAAGTTTTAGTAGCTTTAAGCCTTCAGTAGATACAACCATGATTGCCTAGGGGAAGGAAGCAGACGGACTACAGAAACAATGGCCAGTAAATCCCTTTAGTAGTGCAGGGAAGAGCTGTATCATCTATTTGTGGATACCAGGCTTATGCAACTATTCTCGGATGAAATTTGTTTTCAAATCCATGTAGATTTCATTATATGGATGGCATCCGCGCGCGCATGAAGTTTCGTCCGTTTCCAAAAAGAAAGTTTTCGACCATACTGTAAAGCGTACAGAATGAGCGAATACATGTCGTATTTTGCAAATATAGTATTGGAAAACGATACTAATGTCATAGAATGCCGAACCTAATTCAGGAAAAGAAGAAAATGTGAATACATGAAAATGAAGAGTCTATTATTATTCCACAAATGTTACCTTTCTAGTTATGTAAGTTTTATCTTCATCCTTTTTAAGGCCAGAAGACGTGGTGATCATAGGGACGCCTATTACAAGCCGCGGCACCACCACCTTTAATTTCTTCATCCGCCGACCGGTCACTTCACCAGGTGCCATGATTGTACCACTACACCTGGACAATCTTACTGCAATTATTGAAGAAATCAGCGACAGGCTCATTGGTGCTTTAGCAGACCCGGACTTGACCATCACGTAATGTTCTTCATCTCCTCTATCTACAAAAGCCAATAAGATTACAATAAAGCATAGTTGAAAAAATCTATTTAGACCGACGACCTCTGATAGTTACTGTACAAGTGTAGGTAGCTAGGTAGATGCATAACAGTCGTATGTGCCTTACAAGCATATGGTGTGGATGGGTTGACGGAAATTCTTGTCCGGATACATATAAGGATGAAACAAACAAACATAGGAACATGTTTTCTGTGTATAAGATGGCAGAAGATTTGGAACAGCAATAACGTTACACTGAATGAAGCTCAATGCTGTGATACCACACCACAGAACGTTTCATGCTAAACATTCTATTTTCGAACAGTTATTTCAATCCATCGGTTTTATTACATATGATAATCAGCTTTGTGTATGTCCACCTCTTCTCCACTATGTTGCAGCTTGTCTGCCAGTATGGACCCCGTCGTGACACCGTCCTATACCGCCACCCGCCCGCCTGACGAGGGCTTCGAACCCTGGATGATAGCGTTCGTCGTCACCATGGCTGTGATTGTGGTTCTCGGTTTGGCCATGTTCATCTACAGCAAGATCAAAGCGAGGTACGTTGTCTATGCGCCATCCTACAATAACGAATGCGCATGTGCGGTGGAGATGCATTGTGGGTCGGAACTTCGACATTGACCACGATGCATTTCGACTACATGTACTCGTAACTGTGAACGTTATCAAGAGGTTTGACATGACAATGAATGAGGTATAGGTCTGTTTAGGAAGTGTAAGGAAAATAAGCTTAAAAAATCAGCTCGAAATTGAAAAAATCTATAGACAACTAAAATGCGCCTTTCAACACTGTCTACCTCTAAATAAATATATTGCAATAAAATGGGGAATATGCTGATCAAAGACCGCAGAACAAAAGGCCCCACGCCTTAGGCGTCACCAAAAGTAAAACGAATGATCAAGAAATTTGTCTTCCTAACAGGAGAAACAAACAGATGGCAGACTTCGAGATGGAGAGAAACGGTGGCGCCGGCGGTGGCTTGGAAAATCTTTAGTTCCATCAACCAAAATAGCATCGCTTGCTGTAGGAAAGTTGCAGTCGCCTGCGAACCAGCCAACCCATGATGATAGCAACTCTCATCTACAACTATTGAATTGAGAGAACATGTGTACTGCCTGATATCATGTACATTATTCCATTATGCTGTGTTCCTATTCTCGGATGATTCGACGTCAAATGTAATGACTTCGTTAGCATTACGTTTTCACGAAAACTTAATACTGAGTGACAAGATAAAGAAGCATTTATCATACCTAATCCTATTTTGTTATTACCTGAGCGAAAGTATGAACAGAATATCTAATTGGTAGTCATGTAGCAAAACCCTGCCACAATCAACAACCTTGAGATTGAAATACAAACCCATTGCAATGCCAGAGCTCATCGATGAGACTTACATGATTAGTATCTTTCACGACTTAAACTCTGGACCTTCGTATCACACTTAACTGTTATCACATTGAACTGTTGAACTATTATGGATCAAAGGGCACATTGAACCTGGCCATAAAGATGATAACTGATAGACATCTAGATCATATCAGTCAAATGTAATATCGCAAAGTTGACTGTAAATGTGGTAACTGTAGTTCAAGCACGTGGGCATACACAAGCGTATGGCTTATCTGAAGGAAAGAGTTAACTCTAAGTCGAAGATGTCTTTGCACAGCGGTATCAGCATGCAGAAATATTATCTTATCATCCCTATCTCCGCTGAATCAGCTAGGTACATCCTAGTGAATAGGGGTAAGATTATAAGGTTACAGGTGAACGTTCTACATAAGGCTCGTGTTGAGTGATAGGTCGCTTGAGGGTAATATCTTCACACAAATCTTCTTTTCCAGCACCGAAGGCGCCAGTTTGTGAGCACAAACCATTAAAGTATCGGCAGGAACAAGACCAGCGCTGTAGTTGCCGCCAGATCTCATCAAGAAAAGGTGAAGATTAGTAGTGAAGGAAGCAAAATGTAGCCTCCTTGCGGTTACACGAATCAGTAGAAGTTTGACAAATAGCGTGGAATATTGCTCGGAAGGGTTAGAAGAAAAGTTTTGCGGCTGGTCGCTATATTTTACTCAATATTGCTTGTACTCTTGTCCCGTAAGTCGTGTTATGGGTAAGCAAGGGGGTTAGGTTTATGAGAAGACTTATTGTTAGGTTTACACCGTGTTTCTGGGATTTCGCTGCTAGTAATGATAATTTACAACTTGCTAAAAAAGTTCAGAAACCTAACTTTGGTCAGCGATATCTCATTGTTACTTGCATCGTATGATATATCATTGGAGAGATTATTTTTATCTTTTAAAATGATGCCGGTATGACCCTGGCATTTTTTGCCAGTGCTGACATAATTTTGATGATAAAACATCATAAAACAGATATATAAGTTATAAACTAAGAACACAACACACTTTGTTTCCAGAGGGAAAATATACGTGCTCAAAATGCACTCTTTTAAAATAGGTCAGCAGAAACATTTTCTCAAATTGCCATCTTATGCATCTTATAAGTTTTGATACAGAGATCTTGTCCACATATGTCAAAGGTCTTCGGCAATGTTGCCATAATATATAAGGCGTGAATGATATAAATGTAACTGATAAGCCCATAAGGTCAGAAATAACAGCAATGGAAATGTGCTATCGTAAGATTTGTGGGGATATGAGAGATATGATCAGCAGATAACCTTCGGTTAAGCTACAGAAGCGAGACCTTTTGGAACATGTCAAGATGTACAAATGCTAACTGAAAATCGATGGATAACCCAACTCAAGCGCTCTCAGGTAGAAAAATCCATCTCCCTTTTCCGAGTAAAGCTACATCCAGAACTGCACTTCCAAGAAACCCACTTGATGATCGTCTTTATCTCACGAATCAAGGACTCAACGACTTCAAGGTCACTAATTTAAATGTAAAGGTCATTTTCTGCTACGAAAGTTAGTCAAAAGTCAACAAGAGTAAAGTTCAATTCACTTACACTAAAGATCACACTTTAAAAAACACATGTATACGTGATGTTCAAAATGCCATTCAAACATTGCAAATTCCTAACAAGTGATCTCGGATACGTGTTTAATGGTTATTATATCCTCTGTATCGTTCTGCAAATATTTAAAAGGTAGAAAAGCGAGCGGGATAGAAGTAAGTACAGGAAGTACAAGTTGTTTATTATACACTTTGAAGATTGGTGGAGCACTACGTTTAAATGCTTTTCAAATCCATGAAAGGTCAATACGTAAAGCAACTGAAGGTACACGCATGATCTGGACTGAAATTTCCTAGTTTGAGTTGATATCGGTTCAGATTGTGTTCAGAATAACGATCACAGAGTGTAAGCGTGTGGTAAGTAAAAGTAAAGTGAGTGATGGAGGTGGACAACATGCTTATCACCCATTCTTACGACTTACCTCTTACTCTTATCTATATCCTTGCCGTAAATCTACTTTATATAAAAGTCTATTGATTGCATTTGGTCAATGTAAGATGTCAAAGTGCAGATTCTGCCAGTACCAATAAAAGACCACCTGATTACGAGCTGGATTGAAGTTTTCCTGCTTGCATTGATATATCGATTCAGTTTGAACCATTGTATTGCGGATGACGATCACTTGGTGTAGACCTTTTTTTAAAATAGCGTTAGTTGGAAGACCATCCTCATGATTTATATCAATATCTTTGCAAAATATGGATAAGACGACGTAGATTGGTGTATTTTGAAGACAGAAGGTGATAGAATCTAGTATGCATTAAATGACAACTTCTTCATACATTGACTTTGAGAGTCATGCAATTCGAAGATTTGTACAATGTCACTTTACGAAAAAGTACTAAGTTTTCCGCTAAATTATGACCGAGATAAGCAGTAATAAGCAATGTTTCAAATGGGTTGAGCAGACATGAATTTCATTTCTCATAGCGAAGAAGATATAAAAAACCTTGGGAAAACTTCACATATGCTGCACTGGTACCCATTAATTCTGTTTCATTTTAAGGGTTGCAAATATGTATCTTAGATTATTGTAGTTACTAGTTGTAGATTATATTCTCTGCTTAGCACACAGCCTTTGAGAAAGAGTATGGGAGTCAAATACACATACACCACCACCAGTGGACTAGCCTCCTACCTTAGTGATTGCACTGCTGTTTGGCCCGGGGCTATCGAAAACGGAGATAGGCGTCACTTGATGAGGTAAGGCTCTTTAACTTTTTAACAATGGAAGAAGTACAAATTCCTTCAGAATTAACATAGAGTGTTGCCCGGAGTGCATCCACGGACTAATTCAATTTTTGGGCTATCCAGGGAATCGAGGGATGGGTTAACAATGATGAATTTCGACAGAAGAGCACGCAAGCAGCCGAGCCTTAAGGGCAGTACCAATTTATATTCAGGACCAGTGTGACCAAGTACTGAATCAGCAAGATGTATAGTACTGGAACAGGCCCTGTGGGATAGACCAGTGTTGAGTGAAGCCCATTATTTACAACTGTAGACAAAGTGGCACATAGAGAAGACCATCAAAACTCCCCAGGCAGTGATGCTTCAAGAAGTTAGCATCAAGCCTGTTGCCAACAAAGTGCTCATGATGGCATATTAGTCATTTTCTTTGACATATGGAATACATAAAACGCTGTTGATAATCCTGAGACGGAAAGAGACCGTGGTTTCATAATCCAAGAGCTATACAAAGTTTTGCCCTACCAGGCTTCATAACAGCTTTTTTTTATCTTTCTCAAAGTACCCATTATATAACGTGGGCAGTTGGTCATTTTTGCTAAACATGAAAGATGCAGACACGTAAACCATGGCTGTGGTGCCCAGAAGCTATTGAAACGACTGAGTAGTTTGCCTTTAAAACATGATATCGTGACACAACAAACTTTTTTCTTCATAGTTTATGCAATGGATGCGTTGGCAAAGACCAGCACCTTCACATAGGGTCTATATATCTCAGATTCTTCTTGCTGTCCTATGTACCTACACACTGAAGCACCTTTGGACACAGACAGACGCTGATGCATGCAACCCGAGCCTTCTCCTGATACCGTTTAGCGGCTTTAGCCATAACTCTAAGCGAGATATGATAAAGGTTCGTCCTTCACTCCATGTGTCATGTGATAAAGGTCTCGGGGACAGATATAATGCCAACCAGTGGTTCACTGCTGTTGGTGACCCTTATTTACTGCAGGCACCTCTACCGAATAGGTGATGACCCGTTTCCCCAAAAGCAGCGCCATTGACTCAGGACGCTATGATCTTCAAGCGTATCGGTGAGGGCATGGGCGCAAACGTGCTTTTGCATTTGGATTTAGTTGAGCACAATATGCAATACGAGGCTCTCCCACCTTGTTTTATTGCCAGGTCCTAACCCCATAATTAGAAATTTGACTACTGTAAACCAGCGCCTTGTTCATCAGAAGCTGGAAAAGTAAGAAAAGGTAAACTAACGGCCATCACAGGGCAACCTTCGTGACATTGACGAGTCTTTTACATCTGGCATAATTATGTACAGGAATAGTTTTGAGGAAGAACCACAGAAAATCCTAAGATATGAATGGTATAAATTTAGGTAACCTAAATTTACCGAAACCTACCGAAACTGCATGTTCTATAAGCTTGTATAATAAGTATGTGTATGTATATTTTCACATGCTTCTTTAACCAAGATTATACATTAAATCAGGACATGTATCAATCACCATATCTTGGTTAAAAATTATTATTATCTGACCCCAAACGCACAAAAACATCCATAAGAATGCATTTCATATGAGAAGGCTATAGGAGAAGACATCAACTACGAAAAACGTACATTTCGTTTAATATCAAAACTTTAAACAGGATATTTAGGCAGATATATGTTCACTCGTGCTACTACGCATTTCTGATAATCAAAGTACTATGACGGTCTCGTCCAGGGATGGCCCAAAACGCTGAGAGCGAGAGGAAGGGCCGCTGAAGCAGGCCACTCAGTTGCCCGCGAAGACCTCAACAGGTGCACGTACCAAGTAAGTACTCTGGCAGATATATAGACCCACCATGCATCAGCTCTGCTCTACCAATCGCGCGCCATCTTGTCTAGATCTATACGTCACGTATTAGGATAAATTGCCTGCAGGATATAGTGTCCTAATAGCTAGAAGCTATTGAATGAATTCATTGAAGTCATCAGCTTGCCTTTGAAATATGAGGTAGCGGCACAAAAACTAATTGCACAATTGTGCATTTCAAAATGGCGTCCTCTTTATTGTTTATGCAATGTCTGTAGTGTCTTGCCGAAGACGTATGATCCATAACTCTTGCTGTCTCTTCTTGCTGTCCCATGTATCTACATACTGATGCACCTTTAGCTTTGGACACAGACGGACGCTAATGCAACCTGAGCTTCCTCTGATACTTTTAGCCATACATAATTCTAAGCGAGATATGATAAAGGTTCGTCCTTCACTCTATGTGCCATTTGATAAAGGTCTAGGAGACAGATATAATGCCAAACCAGTGGTTCACAACTGTTGGTGACCCTTATTTACTGCAGGCACCTCTCCAGAATAACTCTAAGCGAGACGTAATAAAGGTGCGTCATTCACTCAAAGTGCCATGTGATAAAGGTCTCGGGGACAGATATAATGCCAACCAGTGGTTCACTGCTGTTGGTGACTCTTATTTACTGCAGGCACCTCTACAGAATAAGTGATGACCCGTTTCCCTAGATGCAGCGCCCTTGACTCAGGGCGCCATGACCTTCAAGGATATCGGTGAAGGTATGGACGCAAACGTGCTGCTGCATTTCCATCGTTCGGGCATATAGCGTAGTTATAGATACTAATAAGTGTATTATATGTAGAAAGAAGTATCCGTAAGACAAACACCCTCGCAACATCCCGAACACAGCTATTTCATTTCGATCTAATTGAGCAAAATCTGCAACCTCATTTTAGTGTCAGCTCGTAACCCCGTAGCAATTGTAAACCAGCGCCGTGTTCAACAGAGGGGCGGAGAAAAGTAAGAAAAAGTAAAGTAATGGCCATCACAGGAAACC